ATTATCATCACCAGAATCTAGAATGGCCAGACTCACCAAAATCACCACAATCACTCGTTGCCTCTATGGAAATCTTCGCATCGAAACTTGCCTAAGGTTGCTCGGCGCTGTGTTGGCCGCCTATCTCTTCAGCAAAGTGAGACCCACAGACTTCGGGGTGCCGATGAGCGCACAGCACCTCCAAGAGCAATTGACACTTGGAAGAGAATGTGATAGAATGTGCATGTCGAATGCATGTCGCGCTTTGATCCTGTTGCATGCCATGTTCACGTGATCTTCAACTGACTATTTTGTTTTTTTTGAGCCTGTGTAGCCTTTCAACCCTCGAGATTATGGATGCCAATGCGGATTTTGCGTTTCGCGGGGTTTACTTCAACTTGAAGATCTGGTCTTATCTGGTTCATGCACGCCTACGTGACATGCATCCAATATGTTAGTAGGCAGATGACTTGAAGTGGTTGGACAGCGCTTTCCTGAGGATCAGCGAGTTCTTGGGCCTTTCCATGCTGGTCCTGACGGTGGCATGCACCGTCTTGGGAGGTTGGGATTTACGGCTGTGGCAGATCAAATACGTTCGTCTTCGTCATATTATCAACAAAAATCCATTTTGTCTTCACTTGTTTCAAATAGGTTCCGCCACCGGAGCTCTGAGCATTGCTTGCTCCCTGGCGGCCATGAACTATGCGCTTGGTAACGTATCAGGTGCATTGTATTGTTGTGTCCAAATCGTTCCGTGTTTGGAATTTCAGTGGTGTCCAACTTTCGAAGCTGCAGAAGAGAGACGGCTAACGAGAAGACAACAGAAAAATGAGCATTAAGGTCACATTGGCATATGTAGATCATACCTAGACTGATTTGAACGATATTTGATGCATTCGCAACATGCGAGTAGAAAGCTTTTCGAGATGAGCCGATGCGCGAAGTTCTGCCAGGTGCCCATTTCGACCCTGCCGTCACCTGCGCTTTCCACCTGTCCGGACGTGACGCCAACTTTCCTGCCAAGAGCGCAGCTGTGTATTTCGTGGTATAAAAGGGTCACCCGCGTCCCCTGCGACATAACTACCTTTCGTGTCACCCCTTCTCAAGTATATATATATATATTATATTATATATTATATATATTATGATTGTTGTGACACAAAAATAGGTAGGAATGAAGCAGCTGAAAATCAAGTTCTTGCAGTGTGTTTCTTAGTTTTGCCACGAGGAAAGGCTTGGACGAGGGGCCTCGGCTGACCTGAAACCTCATGGCCCCACCCAAAAAACACCCAGCAACACACCTGCGAAAAAAAAAAAGAAAAAAAAAGACACTTTTTCTACAGAGTTTCCTGAAGTATCACTGCCACAGCTGATCTGTTTACGGAACATTTTTTTGTTCCATATATTGGGGAATTTCATCATCCCAACTCACGAAGTCATATTTTTCAGAGGGGTTGGTTGAAACCACCAACCAGATATGTGTTTTAATTGATGTATTTTAAGCTTTCTTGTCCCAGTAAGATATTTGCCCTGATCCCGAGCTGCACCCGTTGCGTTGCTTGCATAAAGTTTCATCGGAAAAAATGATCTGTACGTAAATAGAAATAGTTTTTTATGTTTTTTAAATATTTTTAAAATGATTTTTAATAGAAATAATCTGTATGCATGTGATTTTTCAATTGTTTTTATTCGGAAATCCTCGAACTAAATGTAAATTGAGACAGCTGTGAAAATCATGGAACTAAATCATCAACTCCCTACCCCCGACATTCAAGGCAACCCAATCTCATCGTCATGAACGCTTGCATGAGCGTGCCTTGGCTGCACTCCTGCGCTGACAGGATGACATGAGTTGGTCAACGTTGGTAAATTTTTGGTGGATGAATGGTTGGCCATGGACGAATTGAATACCCTCTGGTAAACAGCCACATAGCTATGGAAAATCACCATGCTATTAATGGGTAAATCCACTATTTCGACTGGGCCATTCTCAATAGCAAACTGTTAGTTTACCAGAGGGTATGACATATCTTGCTAACATTGACATGTTTATCATCTTTCAAATGTATAATCTGCGGAAGGTTAGCAATATTGGAAAGAGAGTAGTCAAGAAGCATGCCGCCCCTCCAAAAAAATGGCGTATATACCCACAACAACAACACCATGTTTTGCGATAGATTCCGATAGATATTCGTGGAATTATGTTTCTGGCTGGATTTTGTTTGATTTTTTTGTGGGTGCCCATTCTCAACCAAACCCAGTTGGTTGCTTGGTCGAATACCCTCGCTTTGCGCCACGCTGACCCGGCAAGGCCTATGAGAAATGCAGCCAATGGCAACGAGCTTTAAGTCGCTGGGCAATGGCGCCTTAAGCGCCTGTGTGATGAGTTGTCAAATATAGAGGTTTCCTAAAATGGGGGTACCCAAATAGCTGGATGGTTTAGAATGGAAAAACATCGTAAAATGGATGATTTGGGGATACCCCTATTTTACGAAAACTCCATATGGGGTTTTGTGATGATTTTACCATGAAACATATGGGTGGTCAACTAACAAAAACATGGTGATGCTGTAATTGATACCTTTAGCATAGCTATTGAAAATGGCCCATTTATAGTTGATTTACCCATTAAAAATGGTGATTTTCCATAGCTATGTTAGTTTACCAGAGGGTAATTGATATCATATTGGTGATGATTGAACTCAATGATTGAAGCCTCAAACATGTGGGGTTCACCTGCACGAATAGATGGGGAATTGAACTACGACCTGATGGTTGCATGAATTGCTGAGAGCCACCGCCCGGATGAACGTTGTTTTACAGTATCATTTTCTAAACTCATGTGAATTGAAACCTTTTTATTCAGTGAAATCAGTGAACATGTATACGTACTAAACTTCAAACATTGCATATACATGCATATATAGTGACACATTCTGTGCATTCTGTGTGGACATATCCGGATTTTTAGCCCTTACTGACTGCTCCGTTGGTGTGGGATACTCTGCTGTGGGTTTTCGTTCGGCTTTCTTTCCAGAGACTTCCGGGGACTTTCCGGTCGATCTTTCAGGTCGATCTTTGACACACTGGCTGACCCGTGTTTTGATTTATTACATATAGCCATCAACAAAAGTAATAGTGATATTATTACAAGACATGTGGGACCTAAAAATTACTTGCCTATTTTTTGTTGATGGCTCATGTGATTGCTAAACCACACTGGCTATAGTAATATTTATTATCAATATTACTGGTTATAGTCAATGTCATTGCATTATCAATATTACTGGCTATTTTAATATGGCTATAGTCTTGGAATCACGATTCTTTGCCCAGAGTTTTTCGAGATTTCTGATGTCACACGTCCATCCTTTCGCAGGTCTTTTTGATGCTTCGCAACGTGCTTTTCAAGTGGATGATATCAGTTACACAGCGGCCTTCAGTGCTTTGCAACACGGCAGGGGAGTGGCAAGCTGAGAAAATATTGCTTGAGTCCGGTGAGCCCGTGTAGAAGTCAATTCTTCTTGTGGATCAAATATGGAGTCTACTGGGTTTATCCATGAAATCAGGAATCGTTACTTGATAAGTTATTGAATTCATTATGATGTATAGTTTTTGTATCAAACCCTTAAAAGGTTTGTGTTCTTTCTGAATGAATATTATTTTGATTCATTCCCTATTGCAATGGGACAAAATGGCGGATGTCCCAAAAAAACACGTGTTTATGAATCACATTGACATACAATGACACACACACACACATATATATATACATAGATGAGGACATCGAACCAAACAAAAGAACATGAAGGGGCAAATAAAAAGAGAATCCTGGGTAAAGCGAAGAAAATCATAGGTGAAACATGAAGAGAATCCATGGATTAGACGCAGCCAGGTGGTGGCTGGCTGTGTGCCTTGCAGCTGAAGGCTTCCGGTCGACCTTGCCTGGAGGTGGTCTGACGGTTTTTTTCCGGGTTCCGATTTGTGTTACGAAATCGGCAGATGTTTAAACTTACCCATTGGTTATTTAACGTAGCCGTTGAAAATTAAAAAATTAATAAATAATCATAAATCATCTATAAATGAACCATTTCCAATAGCTATATGTTAAATAACCAGAGGGTAACTATTGCTTGTTATTCGTTGGAAGCCATTTGGAAGCCATTGATACTTACCATCGTTGGTAGATAGGTCCAGGTTTGACATTGTAATTTTGTAGAGCTGGGAACTCCCGGAACTCGAGGTTTAAAACTTCGGAAAATCATGGAATTTTCCATGGGGAATTTTCAAGCTAACGAAGTTGGAATACCGGAGGGTAACTTGTTTTTGCAGGTTGATATCCCGATATACCATGATATACCAATTCTATTCTAGCGTGCTCCTGGAGAAAAGCCACTAAGTACCTACCAGTCGTTGCTGATACATCCCTGAACATTAATATGGACATCCCTAAAATGCCGAAATGGCAGATGGTTTTGGAAATGGCGGCACAAGTGGATTTAAAAAAGCGGTTGGTGATCTCATTTTCACCATTCTATTTGGATCTATTTGGAATGATCGTCCAAATCGACGGTCGTGTTTCTTGATCATTGGATAATCCAATTGGATGTGCATTCCAGTTGGCATTTGGATGATGACCGTGGCTTCAGTCACCCACTTGGTGGATGATTGCATACGCTAATTTTCACCACTTGCGATGATGGCTAAGATGCACGTCCTACTTCGAAACTCGTAAGAGCACCCCGTTTGGTGGGTGCTTATCCCATTTTGAATCGGAATGACCATTCTCATTGATGGTCAACAGTGCTTACTTTTTTTTGTGGTTTCAGCCCTTGCATTTCTTGGGATCTATGATGAAATATGACATAATAGACATATATGACAACTAATTACGAAACACTTCAGAAACAATTTTTGAAACACTTCAGCAACAATTACGAACCTTTTTTCAGACATATATGTATATATATATGTGTGTGTGTTTCTAACATGATTTGTTATGCTCCCTTTAAGATATGCTCATGTCCTCGGTATGTCAGGCAGCCGTTGGACAAGCGTTCCCCTGGCATCTGTCCTCACAGCTACTTCAATCGCTTCGGACAGCCTCGGGACGTCACTCAGAGGCGATGAAGGTCTCGGGTACCTTTGGTGAGGCCACACGAAGTCGGCTAAGTTGAATTATCAGGTGATATTTGGTGAAAACGAATGGTTTATTGGGAATATAACATCATAATTTGGTGATATTTGGTGATATTTGGTGAAAACTAAGGTTTATTGGGAATATAACATCATAATTTACGAGGCAAGACGCCGCGTCGCATAAGAAGCAGCCCGCAAAGGCCGCGTCGCCTGCGTCGAAGTCCTCCTGAAAGAGGCGTCGAGAACGACATCGAAGACCACAGAGGCTCGGGGCCGCAGAACTCTTTTGCTTCGAATTAAATTTTAGATGGTTTGCGCCAAGTGTGCGCCACAAAGGGTCTTATTGTTAACCCATTAATTACTTGAATGAGTAATGAGTAATGTTTTTGCAACGCCTTTTCTAACCCAAAAATCCTTTAACCCTAAAATCTTTCAACCCTAAAATCCTTTGACTCAAAAATCCTTTAGCCCCAAATCCTTTGACCCTGAAATCCTTTAACCCTAAAATAGTTTAACCCTAAATCCTTGAACCCTAAAATCCTTTAGCAAAAGCGGGAAACAAAAATTGTAAAAAAGGGGTCTCGTGGGGGTTGGAAGAAACGCGAACGTAGACTAGAAAAGGGGAAACAAAGACCAAAAAAGGGGTCTCAGTGGGGGGTTGGAAGAAAAAAGGGGTCCCAGTGGGGGTTGGGGCTCAAAAGCGGAAAACAAGCACTTAAAAAAAGGTTCTTAGTGAGGGGTTGGAAGGAAAAAACGCCAACATAGACTAAAAAAAGGGGTGTCAGTGGGGCTTGGGGCCCAATATAGGGAGGGAAAGACTTAAAGAAGGGGTCTCAATGAGGGTTGGAACCAAAAAAAATGCCAACGTAGACCAAAAAAGGGGTCTCAGTGGGGGGTTGGAAGAAAAAACGGCAAACTTGGATTAAAAAATAGGGATCCCGGGTGGGGCTTGCGCCCAAAAAGTGGGAAGCAAAGACCAAAAAAACGGGTCTCAGTGGGGGCTTGAAGAAAAACACAAACGTCGACCAACGTAGACCAAAAAAGGGGTCCCAATTTTTTTGGTTTTGATCCAAGGTTTTGACGGCGACCCTAAAAATGTCGGACTCTAAACCCAAAACCCTATATTCCCTACAACATAAGAAAATGAGACTTTCTATAAGAAAATGAGACTTTCTAATTTTGTTTTTGAGAAAATGAGATTTTCTAATAACTAATATAAATTGATTCAAAAAGAACATATGTTAAGAACACTAAATAAATAATGCATGCGTAAGAAGAATTTTCCTTGTTGATGTAATACACAAAATGCAAATGCAAGATCTGATTTTTTAACACAATTAGATAAACTGACTCAAGAAAATTCTGATCTTCAAATACAAAAGATGAACTTGAGAAAACTAAAAATGTTTCTTCATTTTTTGACCAAAGAATTCGAAGCAAAAGAGTTCTGAGGCGCTGAGCCTCTGTAGTCTTCGATGTCGGTTTTGGGGCCTGCTTTCAGAAGGACTTCGACGCAGGCGACGAGGCCGTCGCGGGCTGCATAATGCAGCGGCGTCTTGCCTCAGCCAGTGGTGCGATAATACATCTCATAACATCTTATAACTATAGTTAATGGAATTATAGACCAACTAACTAACATCACTGGGAGGCTAACTATAGTAATAATAGTAGCAATTTTCAACTCAAAATGGCGATTCAACGAGCAAACAGTTGGATTGGTTTGATCTTTACATATTTCAGAGATATGTCTGCATACATTGCCCGTGTTGGAGGAGGGGTCTAGCAACGACTACTGGCCCATTTAAATCCAGTACTTGTAGGGGCCCATCGGTATTTGAAGAATTGGATCCCTCAAAATGTTCTCACAAAAAGTTAAAAACCCTAACATGATGCTCCGCTGGTGGTAGGCTGCATCTTGTTATGAATCCGGTTGAGACCTCACAAATTGGAACTATTGTGATTTTAGCCAACAATGATGTGGGTTTAACATGGTTTAACCGACTAAAATTGGGGCCTGAACCAGCATTGATTTGAGATTGCTGCGCAGTGACTGGTTCCTGGGGGCAAGTAATCAATCTGGAACGGAAACCTCTAGCAACCAACGAGTACAAACACATTTTAATGGCAGGGTTTATTTGCTTAATCAACATGTCGCTGGAAATACATGCAAACGCAACATTTTCTTGTGCTTAGTCCGCTGAGTATACCAATTGAAAGTCCCAATTCTGATCCCAAGTGTTGGCTGGCTAGTTCAAAAACCCGCCGGAGGTCTTTTCAGTGCCTTTGATGTTGCTACGTATCTTGGGTCAATCCCTACTCTTTTTGTTTGAATCCCGAGTTTTACCATATTTTTACCACACGTTGATGAATTTCACGCGCATTCTGATGTTGGTCCTTGCAAGAAATTGCTGAAACATAGAACCAAGTCCAAAATCACAGGGTAAAACCACCCAGAGGATACCTCAGAGATAGCAGGTTAGGGATATCCGCCACCCAGGTGCCAGTACATTAAGCTCCACTTTGATGCTATCTGCCATGGCCGAAGCTTTGGCTTGGTCCAGGGCCATGCACGTGTACGTGTCGACGCAACTTCCAGGCGGGGAACAAACTAAATGGACAAAGTGTAGCCGTAGACGCCAATAGAGATCTCAATTTTGAATGATTTTGGGCCTTTTGGAGCCTATCAATGGATTGATGTAAGGGAACAATTGTGGGAAACCATGGTTTTTACCATGAAGTATCGCGGGTGTCTGTATTTTTTCCATTGAATGTGAGAGATTAGATGGGTAAGCACCATTGATCCAGCTGGAAATGAAACGTTGAGGGGATCAACAAACCAGTCAGGGCACCCGAAAATGGAGGGGAAGGATGTAAAACATGAGGCGCAACCAACAACTACCAGGGTTTCAGCTTGTTTCAACACTGGGTTTTTGGATCAACGAATTTTCCCAAGGTAATCTCGGCAATCTCATCTGGTCCAATGCAGCGATGGTGGCAAATGGAAGGGTCAGCCGCTGGCGTGGTGTTCTTCAATTACTTGGCAGCACAAGAGATGCCACCAGCTATCATGAAGCAGCATCTTCCTGCGAACTAGGCAGCTGAGTCTTGACCCTCAAAAGCTGTTGTGGAAACTATTGAAACCACGAGTTTGGCCATTTGGCCGCTTCCGGGAGCAGAATCTTTTGCTTAGGAGGCCACGCATACCACCGGCCAATTGTCATGTAGTATGAGTCTAGGCAAGGATTTGGCTTTGAGCCATCGGAACCATGTGGAATCATCATTTAGCATCAACCCTGCTCATTTTTTCCAAAAAATCATCACCAGCTGAAACCAAGGGCCTCCTCTCAGCCTGCCCTTGTCGAAGGTGGTCAGTCCTTGCTTGGCCTCGGCCTGCTTTCAGAACTTCAAAATTGGACCTTGCGCCGCTTGCGCGTTGGAACTGCCTGCGGGAGCCGCAGCGTCTGAGCCATCCTGGCCGTGGCCTTGCGATGCGGGTTGAGACGCTGAGCCGTTCAAAAGGTTGATGATGGTTGATGTTCTTTGGAGATTTTGACAGACGAAATTGTTTGAAATGGTCAAGTTGACCGACATACAACTCACTTGAATACTTGGGTTCCATGAGGGTATATACGCTTGATGCTTGGTAATTGCATGGTGTTTCAGTTTACAAGTTCAATCAGGATGCAACCCATAGTGAGAATCTCCATCAAACAACCAGCGGAACCAGTTCGCAAATACTTTGGTAACTTGTCAGTTGTGAAAGGTGAGGAAGCCATCAACAGGTCTTTTTTCCATTCACGCACCCACATGCAAAGAATCAGACCGCCGTTGTTTTTTTTGGGGGGTCCTTGATTTTGACCCATAGCCCAACTGGCAAGAACATCTGGTTGGTGGTTTCAAACATTGCTTTTATTTTTCCATAATATATGGGATAATCCCAACCCCATTGACTAATGTTTTTCAAGATGGCTAAAGCCACCAACCAGACATTTCTTGAAGACAGATTTTCGCTGAGCTACTCAGCTACTGCCCTTGGGAAAAGAGGTGTCACTTCTGGGGCTTTGAAGTTGTGTTTCAAAGAGGTTTATCAAGTATCGAAGCCGATCATCGTGCAATCCCGAGAATGCTTTGCTTCAAGTTCCTATGCATTTTCATGATATTTCATGCGTGCTTCATGCCCCCCAAAACCAATCAAAAAAACAAAACATTGCTTGGCTGAAACTGAACATCTTGTAAGATCCTCAAGAGTTTCCCAACCACATAAAAGACTTATGACTTGTGTTCAAATTTTGGTCGGGTTCGCTTTTGCACGCATTGGAATCTATGCCACTGTGAAGTTTTGCTTCAGCTGAACTCAGAGCCGTGATACACTTACAATGTAGACACCAAGTCTGACCATTGATATTGGAACTGATTCAGACTGAAATCATGTCCTGCAATTGACACAGCAAGTAAAAAATGCGGGTATGGAAATATAATTAGTATGGATCAACACCTATGGTGAGGATGAACATCCAGCATCATCCAGCTATTTTCTTGTTCACCAGGTGCCATGTGCATAGACACGTGTCCCAATATATCCATGTACATCCCGGTTGCGGTTCCCATTGCATGGATCCGAAAAAGCTTCGTGTTCACTTTGTGGATCATCAGAGTACAGACAAAACTATGACTATGTGGCCCGCAGATGGCCAGGAGGCTCGGGGGATCTGCGGCTTTTCCCCTTATTTGGGGCTGCAGTTTTTCGGTGGAAAAACATGGATATGTTTCTGATATTCCTATCGGAACTCAGAGCCCCAGAAGTTGGGAAATGCGGCCATTCAAACTATTGTTCATTATGTTCATTGGTGGTTTCCGAAGTTTCCTAAAATAGGGCTACCCCCAGTTGCCATCCATGTTTGTTTGGGATTTCCCCTGAAATAAAGCATCCAGCGAGCTTGGGTACCCCCATTTTCAGGAAACCCCCATATAACCATAATTAACCATAATTATCCATGGATGGTCTAGAATGGGAAATCCTACTAAAATGGATGATTATCCCCATTTTCAGGAAACCCCCATATCCACTTATCAGTGGAACTGGACTTCCACCGAAGAACAGTTGACCTCTGCAGCATGGAAACCAGTGATGGTCCATCACTGGTCTAGCCACCTTGCCCGAAACCTTGGATGGCTACTGAGGTACTGAAAAAACCTTTTGCTGTTTATTTCACTGGGGATATCTAGGAATATAATAATATCCTATAATATAGTATAAAATTGGTATAATATAGTATAATTAGTATAGTATACTATAATTATATATATAATATATTCCTAACTTATGTATGTAATCCAGCTAATCAACAGTTTGTTTGCAAGGTTTCTGAGACCGGCAACGGCTTTGGATGTATGATCAGCTATGCAGATGTACTGGGAACAATATAGAATACTGGGTACTATGCCCAAATCGAATTTTTCCAGCACTGTTGGGCCAAATATACGGTCCACCGTGATGAGATGTTTTTGTTCACGATGATGGCTGGTCAAAGCAGAATTTTTATAGGCTTCAGTGCCTCTGTTGCTGGTTTTTGCCGCCACTTTTGTTGCTTGAAACCTACTGGTTTCTGGTTAAACCTCACCTCAAGAATATGATTTAAGTCGGCAATCCATGGATATCAGCGATTCGATTCATGTCCTGTCTCCATCCGCAGGGTGCAAGAAATGAATGTAGTGGCCTACAATCGGGCCATTGGTGCTTGCACCAAGAGCCGCTCGCTTGCACTTGGTCAAACATGGCAAGCTGGAAAATCACATGGTAAATCCGCCATTGAGTTCGATGATTTTCCCACTAAAACTTCCATTTGGTTCGGAGATTACCAGAGGGGTCGGTTTTTTTTATTGTAGTTCCGAAGAAGAGTCAGACAAGGTGACATGTACCACCATTTTCGGGATTGGACTTGAATTTTGGGCATCTTTTTGGGGGATGGGACTGATTTCTGCCCCGAATAGAGGATCGGCCCACCAGAATGATCCCGGCGATAAGTAAAGGTGCCAAAACGAGGATATCACCACAGCAACTTCAACGGGATGCACGCAGCAGTATCCCTAAACTATAGACCAATGTTGGTATTGTTTTGGGGTTCGCAATGTTACGGTAACGACATTTAAATATGCGGAGGGCGGGCCAGACCGTACTACGGCCCCGGAGGTAGTATGATTCATACCAGTTCGTATATTTAAATGATTTTAAATGTAGTTACCGTATATTAGTGTGGCTGATCCTCCCAAAAGTGGCTTCGCATGACTCGATTCTTAGAGGAGGAAGAACGGGCTAGAAAAGGTCACCTTGCACTGGGATGATTCAGCACCAGAAAAATGCCATATACCCCCGGTGTTTGTTTTTTTTTTATGAAAAAGCACGGGTTTCTTATTTGTTGGTTAGAAAACATGTTTCGTTTGGGTTAAGTAAAAGTATAATGATATAATGAATGTGTTTCTCGTTTGCCGGTTGAATCCGTATACTTGAAGGTTCGGGGGGGTAAATCCCTCAAGTGGGTAATAACCTGATTATACCCCAGTTATGCACGGAATATCCCCAGTTGTGGGTAAAGGGAAATAAACCAGTTAGGATGGGTGGGTCTGGCACATCCAAGCACCTTACAGAACCACCAAAAAAAAGTAAAATCCTACAAGTAGAATCATGGTGAAATTAGCGATTTCTATTCTTTTTGGTGGTTATTACCCTGCGGTAATCAAACGTGGCTAGCTGGAAAATCCTCCGTTCAATCAGTTCGACAACTTTGCCAGCTAGCCACGATTGATGACACGGAGCGGTAAATCGATCAATAGCCCATGATTATCCCCTTATTCGCCTTGCAATATCTCACTATCCCACTATTACTAAACCACATAAAATATGAAAAACTACCTGAGGGTTGAACCTCCAAGCGTCCATGAATATTCCATGACATATTCCAATATATCCCTATACCACCAGTTTGTGTTGGTTAAGTCACCATAAGTCACCCTGACACCATGACGGGTACCTTCATGAAACGCCGAGGCCAGGACTGGCGGCAAGTGGCTGTCATCATGGAGGACATGATGCAGCTGACCGTGGAAGCCGATGTCATCACATACAGTTCTGACGCTCGCCGCAGGTCGATTCGAAAACCATATATGGGGGTTTCCTAAAATCGGGAAATCGGGGTACCCCAAAACCATGGATTTCAATACTAAAAGAGTCTAATTTTGGATGATTGGGGGCACCTCTATTTTCGGAACCCCCCAATAGTTTGTCTTTTTACTTCATAGTACCCTCCAGTAGATTAATATAGACCCTGAAAATAACTAGTGGAAACTAATCTTCCAACCCCCTATCTGCCAGGGTCTATGTGAATTTGCTGGAGAGTAATCCCCAAAAGGACAGTTAACTTTATTTTCCCATTATTACTTTAATATAGGATGATTCGGACGTTCCTATTTTCTATCTTTGTAAGTGGGATGCTACCTCCCCATTGCGCAAGCTTATCCCATGGGTTAAACATATGGTTTTTTCACCACGCCACCACCTTCCGTGGGATGATTCTCCCAGTACGGGGAAAATCACCATCAGCACCTTGTATACGGCAGCACCTTGCTGATTCCCTCCACATGTTGATGGTTCACTGCACGGTAAAATCCTGAATTGTTTGATGCTGAAATCAGCATTTTTTGCTGTATGAAACCTCTGTATAGTCTTAGTCTTGGTGATTATCATATACGATTATTATATAATGTTATTGCATACAGCATTATATCTATCCCATGATTGGTTATACATCGATAGTCATCCCCTAAGCTGACATCCTAAGGCGATGAATGCTTGCAGCAAGGCCCATCGATGGAGTTTGGCCTTGTGGCTCTTTGGAGAAAGCCTCAGGTCCGGAGGCCGGTCGCCTGGGTACAGCCAGGGCTGTTGTGGGCAAGAAAAACTTGGGGATCTTGGTGCAACAACGGGTGATTTTTTTGGGGATGTGTGGTGATTTCTAGAGGATAGAGCAATATAGAGGACATATAGTATAGGATAAAACTTGTAGGGATAATGGTGGAAGCCTCATTGAAATAGATGATTTACCATGATTTACCTCCGAAAAATGATGATTTTCCATAGGATTTTCCATAACAATGACAGCAATTGGTTGGGGGAGTCACGATCCTGATTGATGAACAGTTGAACAGGGAATTGGTTGAAGAGTTATCATTTTGATGGAAGAATTCTGAATATTAATCGACGCTAAATAGGCATTTGATTATTTGATTGCATTTTATGGATAATACATACTGTAAGACAAGTTTGACATCTTTCGAACAATAGGCGATTTTCCATCTATTAATGTGTCCCTTGCCAGGAATGACTGGAGGATAGCATTTTTATGCCAAGGGCATCCCGATTTTTTCTTGTAGACCTCTGAGATTTCTCCGCCGAGAAATGACCAGCAATTCCTTGGGTGTTTTGCATGATCTCCCTTGATGGTATATATATATATACAATACATAGTACATACATCTATAATTTATAATATATATATATAAGAATGATGCCATAATATGTATATATATAATATACTATAATCATAATATTAAGAACAATAGCTATGATAGTAACAATGACATGTATATGTATAAGCTGTATTTATATGTAGAAATATTCCCAGGCATCCCTGTCTTTTCAGTTGTTGCTCCCACCTCCTTCACATCCTTATATTGTTCAACCTTGGTCATGTTCAGTACTACGTAATTCGGTTCTCTCAATCAACAGCTTTCAACCATACATCATCACCAAACTTGACATCAGTCCAACTGTCAGGCAATGTGATCACCTACGGCAACGCCATCAGTGCATGCGAGAAGGGTCACCAATGGCCTGCTGCTGTGCAGTTGCTGTTGGAACTACAGATGAACACACTGCAGAGCAATGTGAAGCTTGACTGATGCAAAGCTGCGAGAGAAAGAACAACTCCACTTCGGAAACGCTTCGAAAGTGGGGGCTTTGTCCCCACGAACATCAATGGGATCACCGATTCGTGGACTTTTTCATGATTTACCAATGTCTTGGTCACAAAATCACTTTTTCAGTGGGATGATTCTTCAATTTAGCTTGTCAGGCTGACCGCAATTTTCATTGGGAAAGCTGTGATGCAAATCATAGGGTTTTGGGCATCCCCGACGGGTCGAGATGGCCTCAGCCCCACTCGATTTCGGTAGCTTTTGAATCAACAGCCAAGCCATTGGCACCATTTACCCGCCGGTAAACTGCCACATAACTATGGAAAATCACCATTTTTTATGGGAAAACTCAATATTTCTATGGCCATTTTCAATAGCTATGTAAACGTTTACCAGAGGGTAGTGGGTCAACAATGGGTCAATATACAGTATGTAGATAATGGATCAACAGCCAAGATAAGCTGCTCTACTTTTTGTTGACCCATTATTGACGCTTTTATCGATGATTTTGCTCCTGAACAGATATAGGAGCATGAAACCACAACATACCACAACAGGCATTTCAAAATGGAGGAACTTCCGATAGATCTGTGATAGATTTGTGACACTATTGGAGGCATTTCAACTGGAGATTGAACTTGGACCTGTGTGGCTGCACTTTGAGCACTGCTAGGTGTGGGGTCGTGAAACCGTGGGAAGAAACTTCCAAGTTTTGATGTGGTATCTGGTGACAGTGGGGATTCTCTATTGGCTGTATCGGGTTTACCACATTGCTTTTACCATGCGTGAGATGATGGAGATGAAATTCGAAGTTTGCCACCTGGAGCTCCGAAAAACCAAAAACGCCTCGTGTTTCAGGATCGTTTTCAGCGCGGCCATCAGTGCATGCGAGAAAGCTGGAGAATGGCAAATGGCCCTCGCTTTACTGGGCGAATGCAGCTCAAAGAAATCTTAATACAGGTGGCCATTGACGGAGTCAGGTGCAAGAGGGTGCACCCTACCAAGATACTCAAAGTACTTGTAGACATTGGTAAAAGTGTTTACTAAATTTATGAGATACAATACCAATTTCTGTGGGTCAACGTTGTGTCTAGGTCTATGTCCAAACTTGTCACGACTTGTCTGATATGTTCATTCCGGCAGGGTGTCAAGATGGGCTAACTATCATTTGCCAGTGGGTTGACATGGACGATTACCAAAGCCTCAACATTTCACCTGTTTTGGTCCTTTGCAACGTGCAACTATGTGCAACTAGCATTCTCACGTTGGATCGGAAAACTTCATCTCTATCTTTCTGTATAGATTGTATAGGAAGAAACAAGTTTTCCTGCAGATTTTCCCTGCCATCCCATTGACACCCAAAAACTGAGAAGTCCACCCGATGGCAACAACGCCATATCGGTCATTCAACAATTTTCACAGGATGTACCGGGGATTTCACAATGGAGCAAGGGAAACTCAAACCTTAAATGGGTCATGGACAATGGTGGAATATCTTCCGAGGCTTTGCAACTGGTTTTCATTCTTCGCCTTTTTGATGATTTTGACATCCCACTAGGAATGCAAATTATTGAATAAAAAACTACACAGAAAATACAGAAACTGTTTTGTTCTTTCTCTCCATAGGCTCAAACCTCATCTATTGTTGGCTCAACACTGAACACCCTTTTTGGACGGTTTTGCCTTCATTTTGGATGATTAGATCCTCATTTTCAATGTTAGATGCCCATTCTTGCTAGTTCAACCATCATGTTCAATGGTTTGGTCCTCATTTTGATGATTATATACATCGAAGATTTCAGTGAACTATATACCTCATGTTTGATGGTTACATCCATGATTTTCCCCATATTTCCCGCAGTTTTTTTGACGCCTTGACCGAGGCCAAGTCCAACGAGTGGAAGCCAACAGCATCGCCTACAGCGCGGCCATCAGCGCCTGTGAGTGTCTTGGTGAGCAGTGGCTGCTAAACCCCTGTTGGTTGATGATTGGTTGGGGGATTTTACTACCCTTCAGTGTTGTTTAGGATGGGAATGGAGATTGAAACCTTCATTGATTTGTCGTTCTTGCTGTGATATGGGGATTGAACTATCATGTACATGGGTATCATAGGGTATCCAGTTCATGTTCAATGAGGAAAATTATGACAGTGCGTCCATTGGAATTGGGGGTATACGACTCGAGGTTATCCCATTGACTTGGCTGATGCTTGGTTGATGATTATTACAACTAGAATTGAGAAACATGGGATAAAATGGAATAAAATGTCGGACCCGCCTAAGTTATCTACCAACTGGACCTATCCAGCATCCAATTATATATATATAAATATATATATATTATGATTATATATTATTATATCTACGTTGTGACTGAGCTCATTTTGCCCACTTGCACGCCGGTGTTCCCTAGCACTTGAATCTACATGAGACACGTCTCCTGGGTCCAACCATTTTCCAGGCATGCTGTTCCGAAGACTCACCGGCTCAGGGAGCCCGGAAGAGAGGTGGGCGGATTGTGAGTTTAGCCATAGGCTTTCCTTCGAAGTGGCTGTGGACAGCCTGGGACATTTGACCGCGGCTCGGTCAGTGGTGAGAGAAGGCATAGCCGCCTTGGAGATTTGGTTGGAAGAGGCATTCCATTAAAGAGATCATCAGAGGTCGCTACCCCAATCACATTGGTAGCGGAGCCCTCCAGCGCTCATCAAGCTGGGGGGCATCCAGGGAGGCTACCATTTGCAGTTGACTGGCTGGAGACGGTGAAGCAGAGTTTGACAACCCTGCAACTTAATCCATGTCTGGAAGTGAGACTGCCGATGGTCAAGGCCAGGTTGGTGGAATATCAAGCCAGTTGGCTTTCCTCGTTCCAAGTTTTCATCCTGGTGAAGATGATCTGCAACTGTATCAACAAAAGGTGCAACGGGTCCTTTCCATGTGGCCCCCAAACAAGATCCTGGAGCTCACAACGAGGTTGGCGAAGGGCAATTCCTACTTAGGGGTGAAAGTGCCAGGCGCAGAAAACAGTAGTTGCGCCATGTACTTTGGCCCCCAGGGCCAAAATACATGGCGCAACTCGCATTAATATAGCGTGCGCACCTGAGCCACCTTTTCCCATGCAAAACGGGCGAATGCATATTTAGTATTCGGCGAACATGTTGAATCTGTGGAGCTTTCGCGACCGGGGTGTGTGCAGTTTTGGTCTTACCACTGCCATAGATGACCCAACTCCAGAAGCACACAGGGAAACTCCCCATATTGCAGCCACATAGATGATGGCGCAACTCACATGTCACTGGTGTGTTCATGTGAGGGCTCTCTCCCACAAAAATCATGCACATGTTCCACCACCTATGTGCTTGGAGCTGCGCAGGCTTTGGCAATAAGGAAAAGCATGACCAAACTGCACGTGCCCGGTTGCAAGAACTCCACAGATTCAACATGTTTGACCGAAGGCTAAATATGAATTCGCCTGTGTTGCATGGCAAAAAAGGCTCAGGTGCGCACGCTATATTAATGCGAGATTTCGGTTATTTTCTCAGATTTCGTTTTTCGGTGCCTGGTGGTACATTCACCCCAGTGTGTCTGTCAGGAATTCAGAACGCAGTTGCTTGCCAGATCAATCCGTGATACGCTAGGAGAAGGGATCCATTTGAATTGGGTACATAGTGGAGCGCAGATGGCCGACGCACTCACTAAGCTAATGGAGGCAAATTCCTGCGGGAGACATTCCGCCAAGGGAGGTACTGCCTTCATGATGCCAGTGAAGTCTTGAAAAACCGTGCCACTGCAAGGAAAAGAATGAAATGGCTACAAGCCTCATGCACCGAAAATGAGCTCTCATCTGAAAAATGAAAATTAGGGAATGTGACTGAGCTCATTTTGCCCACTTGCACACCGGTATTCCCTAGCACTTGCATCTACATGAGACATGTCTCCTGGGTCCAACCATTTTCCAGGCATGCTGTTCCGAAGACTCACCGGCTCAGGGAGCCCGCAAATTGGCACACCCAAATCATGGAATTTGATTTGGGGCATTTCTATGTATTTCATCTCCTACTCGTACTTCAACTTGACTTGATTGCCCATCCATGGGCGCAGCCATGGAGTTTCTGACTGATTTTTTGCAGATTTCCAAGGAAAGGCCGGAAATGGCCTGAAGCTCTTCACCTATTGGCCTTCGCAAGCAGTACAACCGTTGATGTGGTGATGTACAATGCAGCATCTTGGCTCAGCTGGGGTTTGAGATGCCCATGGTTTGTTGATATCCAACTCACGGAGCAGGCAGGTCTCAGGTCTACATGATACTTACCCTCTGTTAAACATACAAAAAACCATGGAAAATCACCATTGTTCATAGGTAAATCAACTATAAATGGCAATTTTTAATAGCTATGTTAAATTACCAGAGGGTAACTTCAACCTGATCCTGAGTGATGATTTGCTATGGAATGTCCAAACAAAGTGTCTCGCAGCCCTCATGAAAACTAATAAAAACTAGAATTGGGGGTTGTTAGAGTATATCGAAATTATTTACAGTATACATAATCATCTTGAAATAGATATATATGGAATGTTCAAATCTATTCCGGTGATGTTGAGTTTGAAATTTTATTAGGAAAAAACATATTCCTATCTTCTATCTACCCCAAGATGGCTATACATAAAAGGTGGTGCCCCCATGTTGATTTATACACCCCATTCACTAGTTTGATATATCTACCATAAACCCTGGCGAAATCTGAGTTCTAGACAGCTAGTTTATCTACAGTTTGGCAGGTTTTCCATCACCATTTTTTGGTGTCCAAATCATTCATTGATGGATTCTCCATGAAATCACTGGTTGGTGCTTTGGAACCATGGAATTTTATGACTTTCCAGAAACAGTTGGGAATCTCATCATCCCAACCGACGAAATCATATTTTTCAGAGGGGTTGGTTGAAACCACCAACCAGAATCAACCAGATCCAGATCCATAAAGGTGTAGCGTCGCTTCGGAAAGTCACCATTTCTGGTGTTCGTGGTGTTCGGAAAGCCACCATTTCTGTTCGTTCCAGCTCATCAATGGGAATTTCAGGATCCAATACCGGAGGTACGTAAACGTACCATATGTTTGGCCATATGAATTGATTGTGGGGATATTCCCTGTTACGTATAGGTCTTAAAAATAGGCCAAACATATATGGTAGGTACCCTCTGGTAAACGTTTGCATAGCTATGGAAAATCACAATTTTCAATGGATAGATCCACTATAGATGGCAATTTTCAATAGCAAACTGTTGACATAACCAGAGGGTACCTCCAATGCCTATCGGTTCCGGCCATTGAGTTCAGGTCATTAGTGCCATGGAGGATTGGAAATGGGCCGTGGCGTTGCTCCAAAAGCTGCAGGTTCCGTGGCGTCGTCCTGGGCATGGGATGTGCGGTGCAGACGTTAACGGATGGTGTTTTTTGACGTCAATAGCTAGGGGTTATGGGGGGTATGGTATAAGTGTAGTTATTTGGGGGTGTACCTATAGTTGCTATACTTATTGGGGAATATAACTATAGTTATTGGGAGATATGTGATATTCAACCAGATATATGACTATAACCAACAATCTAGTTAGGAAGCGGTGAATGACCCATCTGGATGAATTTGATCATGCACGTCGTGACGTCACCGACTGATGGGAATTGGGGGGATCATAGGCCGCAAGTTTCATTTCTTTAGTTTTTCAACTCTACCCTCTGGAAATTTAACATAGCTATTAAACATTGCCATTTATAGTTGATTTACCTATGAACAATGTTGATTTTCCATGGTTTTTTGTATGTTTACCAGAGGGTACATCCAGTGAGCCCTGCCTGGACCCAAGGCAAGTTGCTTCATTTGTGGAATCGCAAAGGGATGATCCGGGGACCAGAGATGCGAACTGGAAAAATCACCATGTTTAAAATGGGTAAAGAACGAAGATATGTTTGAACAGCTGTTTAATGGATGGTGAAGAAAAAGATCTGTCTAATGGATTTACATGGATTTACCAATGTAATGTTTATTTACCGTATTTAGCTTATGTTTAATGGGTAAAGCAACGAGCTAAATGGCCATGGCTTCAATAGTTTTGTAACAAATTGCCAGAGGGTACCGAAAACATGCATGACTGTAGATAGTGTGTAGGCGAAGCCCGAAGCCAAGTCTGTGAGCCCAAGGAGGAGAAACTGCATCCTACAGTGATCTCCTTCAACTCCTGCCTCGCAACCATGAAAGGCAGATGGGTGATCTACATGGACATGGGGAGATTTTCTGGGATATTCCATGATGTTCAAATGGAGGTTTTAGAGGGGGAAAACCATCTAGAAATACCCTCTGGTAAACATACAAAAAGCTATTGAAGCCATGGCCATTTATAGTTGATTTATCCATTAAAAATGGTGATTTTCCAAAGATATGTTAGTTTACCAGAGAGTAGTGAATTCTCTATTATTGGTATTTCATGGAATACAGTTAGCCAACTATCTGATCTTTGCTCACAAATAACCACGAGAATAGGAAAAATCCGGTTCAAAACCATTGGATGGAATTTGAGGTGCCCCAAGTTACTTGCGATGCTCCAAAGGATAGGAAAGTTGGGGTATTTGTGGTGGATGTAAACTGGATATATCTATAGCTGGTTGGTGGTTTGGAACATTTTTTATTTTTCCACATATTGGGAATAATCATCCCAACTGACTATTTTTTTTTCAGAGGGTTTGAAACCACCAACTAGCTAGTTAAATGGGGTTATAGACCAACTCCTGACTAAGGGGGGCCCTTCCCATACCCCGGATATAAAATATCCGCAACATGGCCGTTTTGGACCCCCAAAATCAACAGAGGCAATACTACATACGAAACCATCATGTTGTTTCATTGCTTAATCAAGTTTCTTTTGGGGGGCTTTTGATCTTCGGGGAAAAGGATTAAAGACACGCAACGTCAAGCAACATGTGGCTTCAGCCCAGTTTAGTTGGCAAAGTTTTCCTTTGCCTTGAACATCCTTAAATAACTTTTTATAGGAAATCTAGCCGGCCACTAGCCATTCAAAATTGGCGACCCACAATCATTCCGGGGGTGAAGTAGATCGGTATTTTCTAATCCCGGGTTGAAGCCTCAGTCAGTTTGTGGGAATTTGGCTTGGAATTCCAGCCAAGCCCAATTTCAGCCATTGGTTGAAGTGATAGCACCGCACCTTTTGCGGGTCAAAAACATCCGGAGGTGTCCGAGAATTTGGAATACGAATCCATCCCATAAATCCCAATCCCATGGTTTAGAAGCAAATTTCCCGCAATCATTTTAGTTGTAATTGGGCACATGTTGATAAATCAATGTTTGTTGTTTGACTTCCCATTTCGAATAGCTCATATCACCACTTACAACTGCGAATCTTGATGGATTTTGGAAGTAGCAGCTGGGCGCATCCCAGCTGGGATCCGTGATAAAAATAACCATGGTTTTTGACCCACTGATAGGATATCCCCATTTAAATATGTATGATGTATATATGGTTATATCCTATCACTATAAATGGGGTTTATGGTCCACAGATATATATATATATATATAAATATACACCCACTAATATATATATGATATAATATGGTTTATGATCCACTCACTGAGCAGGATACACATCCAGATCATCCAACTACCCTCCTTGGATTGGAGGCGAAGCTTGGCGAAGAGCTCTTTGCATCTTTGAGGAGATGGTCACACTTCAGCTGAAGGTGGATTGGATGGCTGATTTTGGGGGGCCTTGGGGAGTGATATCACCAATGGGCCAATGGTATAAAGGGATGCAGACTATGACGAATGGTATAATATCATGGTACTATATATATTATCCGTTTGCGAATTGGATGTGGACATAGTGGTATACAGACCATAAAAAGGATATATTTGGTATAATGGGATATCACCAAAGGTATAGTGGGATATACTCTACAATGGTATGAAAAAAATCTCGGTGTTTTTACTGGAAGGGTACCGATTGAGTATCGTATTGTCACTATTTGCAGGGTACCCCGGGTACCCCCAAAATTAATGAACCATGGTTTATTCATCCAAGGTTGACATTATATCAAATCCATTTGGACATGGGACGTGGATATAATGCTATATTGACTATAGATTCGATATATAATTTCCGGGGATATTTCTATCCCCAGGTTTTATTTTATGATAGTCATGATGTTTGGGTGTGTCTGAGAATGGAGGACGTGATCTTTACATGGGGATACAATTGGAATATGTTGCGGGATTTTTTTGGGAGGTGTAGTTCACCAACAGTCTGAAACTTGGAACCTGTGTTTGAAATCGGGATGTACCCCAAGAACACTTATTTGATAGGGATTTCAACAACAAAGATGGAAAACAACACCAACTGGAACAAAATAGCGAACAATGGCGATATAATAGTAATATAATGGGGACGTAGAACCAACAATATGATGAATAATCGGGTTTGTCATCCTGAAGAAGGTGGATTTCACCAACAAACATTGGGGGTTTGCCATCAAACATGAGTTTGGTGATTCATGCTCTTGGGCAGCTTCGCAAAAAAAAACATGTCATTCTTCTGTGTCCCATCGCAAGATGGAATTTGCTCGTTCGCTCAAGAGAGCTGTGGCGGGCCAGAAAAAAAGTACAGTCAGATGGTCAATTATGCTTGGCCGCACTTGACTAGATACTTGCCCAAGACCCTTCAGAATCAGACCCCCAAAAGGATATATGTGGATAGATTCAAATTCTATGCGAACAGCTGCACAGATGGAACCACAAGAAAGACTTGTTGAAAGCGTTGCAAGGTTGTGTAGCAAAGCCCCAGGTTAGAATGGTGATTCACAATGCCGTGACCTTGATAGCCCCAAGTTCTCATAGAATGCCGTGAAATCAAAACACTTAAGAGGTGCTACGTTGAAATGACCAGAAATTGTGACATCCCTCATTTCGATAAACTTGGAACCCCAAAGAACCACAAATAATTGGAGTTTAAAGAAAAACACGCTTTGTTATGTAGGGATTCTTCTTGTTGTTTGGGGTTCGGGGAAGCCATGTTGGTGTTTTTCACCACATATCCCTATAATACCTCCATTTGGACTGGCTAAAACCACTAGACTGTTTGCTTGTTTGTTCATAATGTGTATTGATATTATGTGTATTGATATTATATATATATATGATCCTGTAGTATCTCCTTAAAAAGAGCCATACAATTGCCATATTTCACTTGGGTATCCTTATTTGCTTCAGATGTCCACTTGGAAGTGCAGTTCTAGTGATTCTAGTGAACTAAGTAGATAATATGAAGGTCAACATAGCATGGTTCTACTCATTTTTCCCATCTCAACTGCACCGGAGCCACTTAGATAATTAACCATAGTCATAAATATTTATATATGTTACATAGGCAGAAAAATCCAAACTTATTGGTCTTCACAGGGCTTAACAACATATCATAGCCGTTCAAAAAACTTCTATACAGGGATGCAAATCCCACCTTTTAAGGTGGCTTCAAAAAAGGCCTCTCGTTTCATAGGCATAGCCATTCAGGCGACGCTGATTAGCTACAACACTTTGATCTCCTCGCTGGGCTCCTGTTACGACTCCTGGGAGAAGGCGCTGATGCTACTGGAAGAGCTGCCACAGGAGCTGAGGCGCCGGGGATGGAAATATGCTGCTTACCCTAGGGGGAACTGTTACATAGATGTGGAAAATCTGTTATTTATGGATGTGATCTTCAAAATGGGGATTTTCCACATCTATGTTAGTTTGCCTTAGCGTAACTGGTAAGATATAATGGTGTAATATTCAATATGATGCAATGTGGATTGATGGTTTACATAATATGGTTTATACCACCCATAAGCATGGTCAATTTGGGCACGGTGGATCCTATGCTTTACCAAGATTATAACCAACCATACGTTGATAAGGTTTGTGATCCTGAAATGGCAGAATTCCGTAAGACAAATTAGGTTTGACCATCATCAAACATCGGGATATAATGTCAAATAATTAATGGATTGATGCGAGGGTGTGCCGAAAAGAGACTGTGTGTATAGTAATACCAGCCATGATATTTTGTGATATTTCAGAGCTGACGCTCATCGTCGGCTCCGCCGGATTACTTGACCCTCGATGTCATCGCAGGGTGGGCTTGAAAGCTATTGAATGAGGACCTGCTGCTTCAAAAACATATTCCTTATGCTTTTTTGCAAATATTATTCATGGAATCATGGAATTGCGGTTTTTTCCTGGAGCAAGTGGGGAAAGGCTTGTTCCCGAAAGCTCCTGCGAAGGGTTTTCCTCAAGAATTGCTGCCAATTTCAACTTTCCACTTCGTGTACAAGCGCCTCTGTGTAAAGACTTATCTGTGTTTAAAAGCTTCTGTGTGTAAAAGCTTCTGCGTGTACAAAAAGCTTCTCTGTGTAAAGGCTTCTCTGTGTAAAAGCTTCTGTGTGAAAAAGCTTCTGCGTGTAAAAACTTCTCTGTGTAAAGGCTTCTCTGTGTAAAAGCTTCTGTGTATGAAAGCTTCCGTGTGTGAAAGCTCTCTCTGTAAAGACTTCTTTTTGTAAAAGTTTCTGTCTGTAAACGCGCCTGTGTGTTAAAGCTCTCTGTGTAAAGACTTCTTTATGTAACAGCGTCTGTGTGTAACAGCTTCTGTGAGAAAACTCCCTTGTGTGTAAAAGCTCCTCTGTGTAAAGTCTTCTCTGTGTAAACGCTTCTGTGTGCAAACGCGTCTGTGTGTAAAAGCTCTCTGTGTAATCACTTCTCAGTATAAAAGCTTCTCTGTGTAAAATCTCCTCTGTGTAAATGCGTTTGTGTGCAAAATCTCCTTAGTGTCAAGACTTCTCTGTGTAAAAGCTTCTGTGCGTAAAAACTCCTCTGTGTAAAGACTTCTCTCTGTGTAAAAGCTTCTGCGTGTAAAAGCCCGTCTGTATAAAGACTTCTCTATACTTCTCTGTGTAAAAGCCTCTGTGTGTAAAAGCTTCTGTGTCTAAGAGCCGCTCTGTGTAAAAACTTCTCTGTGTAAAAGCCCCTGTGTGTGTGTAAAAGCTTCTGTGCGTAAAAACTCTGTGTGTAAACGCGTCTGTGTAAGAGCTCCTCACCAGCATTATTCATCATCATATTTTCTTGTGTGCTATCTTCTCGTCTCCTCCCTCCAGCTTTCTTTCGGGCCACACCGTCGTCTAGTTTCAATCTGTAACGTCGTTTCTGGTTGAATAATGCCAAGAACATGTGAAAGCATAGTTTTTTTAAAAATTGAACATAAATGGCACAAAATTCTGTAATCTACAGCATTTTGCGCTGTCAGATGGCAAGAACCCGGGTAAGTACCAGAGTTTTAGTCTCCGAAAGTGGGAAAAACAAACACTGTTATTTGCAGGTTTCGTTCACGTCATGATCTTCGATTTTTTGAAAAACACGTGAGTACCAGCGTTTTTTGTGTTCATCAAGGCCAAAAATCGGTTCAAAAAGTGCAAAATATGCTGTATTGACCCTTGTTGTTGTCGAAGAATCCCTCAGCAAGCCATCAAGCCGGCGCCGAGGCTACACGGACCCGGCCACGCTCAATGATTGGTGGGCCAATGAAGCCCACCAACATTGGGCGTGGGAGTGGGACTTTTACGTGGAGGTCTAGGAAACAAAACAGAATAAGGGTGGAGAAAAAAAGAAAGCAGCAGCGTGCAATTCGGAAACGCCGTCTGCGTCTGCACAACCCTTTCGGTGGTCGGTCTTTGCTTGCTCGACCGTTTCAGAGCTTCCTGACCAGTAAATATCTATTCCCGCAGCGCTGTCTTTCAGCTCTTGCCAGTCGGACATCAGTGGATTTCGGAAACAACACCCTTTTCTTGGTCAAAGAGTCATGAATTTTTGACCAGGAAAGAAGCAGCTATATGGCAGTTATACTTCCCATCAGATATGTCAGCGACAAGGAAGAAAAAACTTAGAATCCTTGACCCAATGCATTCTTCGAAATCAAAAGAGACCCCGTCTTCAACATACAGCATGAAGCAAGCAAGGACAACAGCACCAAAGCAGCTTAATTTAAAAACTTCCAAAGCAAAGCAAGCGGACAAGAAGCAGGATAGAATCCATAGGATGAAAGGGGGTCGCCGTCACGGCTTTCCCGCACTTCTGCCGGCCTCGAACTGCTCTTCATCCCTGGCCAGGGCCAGGACGGTCCTGTGCTTACGCCTCGACATCTCGATATCAGTATAGATGTTTTGTGACCCATCTCCGATCAGAAAGAGAAAAAAAACAGAGAGAGAGAGAGAGATGACTGCAATGCACAAGCGGGCTCAAAGTGTTGTTCTGCAGTTCTGCATTTTCTTTTGCTTGTTTGTATTGAGGCGCCACTTCCGTGATGTGAGCCCCAGTCCGAAGCCACATGAGCTTCTGATGCCATGCAACAGCCAGCCACTAACAAGCAACAGGAGCAGAAAAAGGCCTTGGCAACGGAGAGTACACGACCATTGGCTCATTTTCAGTCAGGCAAAAGAGAAAAGTCGGAATTTGCGCATCGTGTTCAATCACTGCATTTTTAAAAAAAAGAAATCACATACTAGACTAGACTCCGCAGCGCGTCCTTTGAAGTCTCAAGACAAGAAGTTTCTTCGCGCACACACACGGTTCGTGGTTGTTCAAAGCTGGGCGCTTGGCTTGACCTGTCAACTTCGGGAGAATAGCACGCAAGCACACGCGCAAACACGCTTGAATAATCCATTGATCAGTGTCCGATCATGCAAGGCTCATGACCATCGCCGCGTCCGAGCCTGAGATATATCCGCTTTGCAGCTTTGCGACCTCTTCGATCGATCCGCGCCGCTTAGGTTAGGACTGAAACTCAGACTCTTCGCTTTCCTCGTATGCATCCGCTGGGCGTAAGGACCTTGGCTGTTTTTTCGGGACCCAACCAAAGTCAAATGATGTTTTTTTTCGGCCCGTATGCAAAGGTACTGCAAGAAGCTGATTCACGCCACCAACATGCTCAGTGGAAACACATACAGCGTGTTTCGAGGCAGGTGGAGATATGGGAACACACATGTGTAATCAAAATCACAGAAAGCTCTCTACGCTAAAATCTAACATTCGTGCAATTGGCCTTCCTGAGCCCCGGTCTCTTTGGACACGTCTCTGTCGTCGACAGGATCCCTGGGCATTGAAGCAGCGATTCGCAAGCACTTCAACGCCAAGGCCGGGAAGAATTTCGGAGATCATGTCAGAATCAAGACCCACTAAACGAGACATGACACAGGAGAATTTGCTGCGCATGCTGCCAATTCCACGATGAGGCGACGGAAGCTGCCCAGAACCACGACAAGGTAGTAGAGGTGGTGGTTGGCGACGTGAGCGGGCAACGGGTTCAGTTTTACCTTGTCCTAAGAGACAGCAGTGTCCCACACCGCCTACGATATCTCCTGCAGTAAAAAGGCGCTGAAAAGAGTTCATGGAAACAGGGGCATCACGGCAGCCATGGCAAGTAGTTGTTTTTGCTAACGCCGCCCGTAGAGACGCGGGGTTTTTTAACGTTTTTTTACTGCGTTCATACTTTTTGTGGGTTGTCTGGGTGGGGGGGTGGGGTGGATGGCTATGGTTCCTTGGAAGTTACGTGACATACGCTGGGGTTGGGTGGGGGGGTGGGGTGATGTTAACGTTCCTTGGAAGCGTTACGTGACATACGCTGGGGTTGGGGTGGGGGGGGGTGGGGTGATGTTAACGTTCCTTGGAAGCGTTACGTGACATACGCTGGGGTTGGGGTGGGGGGGGTGGGGTGATGTTAACGTTCTCCAGTAACTTACTTCTGAGACGAGGTTGATGCTACGTTGTAACATCTTGTCTACATCTTCTCACAACTAACTTCGGATACGCTCTGGATGCTACGTTGTAACATCTTCTCTCCAGTAACTAACTTCGGAGACGAGGTTGGATGCTACGTTGTAACATCTTGTCTACATCTTCTCACAACTAACTTCGGATACGCTCTGGATGCTACGTTGTAACATCTTCTCTCCAGTAACTAACTTCGGATACGCTCTGGATGCTACGTTGTAACATCTTCTCTCCAGTAACTTACTTCTGAGACGAGGTTGATGCTACGTTGTAACATCTTGTCTATACATCTTCTCACAACTAACTTCGGAAACGCTCTGGATGCTACGTTGTAACATCTTCTCTCCAGTAACTAACTTCGGATACGCTCTGGATGCTACGTTGTAACATCTTCTCTCCAGTAACTTTCTTCTGAGACGAGGTTGATGCTACGTTGTAACATCTTGTCTATACATCTTCTCCCAACTAACTTCGGATACGCTCTGGATGCTACGTTGTAACATCTTCTCTCCAGTAACTTACTTCTGAGACGAGGTTGATGCTACGTTGTAACATCTTGTCTACATCTTCTCACAACTAACTTCGGATACGCTCTGGATGCTACGTTGTAACATCTTCTCTCCAGTAACTAACTTCGGATACGCTCTGGATGCTACGTTGTAACATCTTGTCTACATCTTCTCACAACTAACTTCGGATACGCTCTGGATGCTACGTTGTAACATCTTCTCTCCAGTAACTAACTTCGGATACGCTCTGGATGCTACGTTGTAACATATTGTCTACATCTTCTCACAACTAACTTCGGATACGCTCTGGATGCTACGTTGTAACATCTTCTCTCCAGTAACTTACTTCTGAGACGAGGTTGATGCTACGTTGTAACATCTTGTCTACATCTTCTCACAACTAACTTCAAAGCCTCTGGCAATGGACCTACAGCTGGCAGTACAGATACAACAATGGCAAAGACCTTTGGACAGCTGTGCCACATGTCCTGAAGCACATCAGAAATGCCTGAGTGCAAAACAGCCCGCGTCTTTACGGGCGGCGTTACCTTGTTTTTGGCTATGCTTTGCAGAATGCCGTGTTTGGATCAAAGCACTGAAAGTAGTCATAACTCATCTGCACGTGCTGCCACGCAACGGCCATGGAGAGATGGTGTTGTGAAGCTGTTGTGTGTCTGCTATATGCATCATGTTCTTTTTTTCTGATTTTGTCGGCTCAAAGTGAATGTCTCGGCCCACGGCACTTAGAAACCTGGCTCCTCTTGCTCTGTTGCTTTCAAGGCTCGGAGCATGTTCGATAGCTGTAATTATCTTCAACAACTGTTGGTCTGACAACTGTTTCTAACATGTCAAGCACAAGCTACGTTCCTTAGCTGGAACCGATCTATTCGAAGCACCCATGCATACTGCGAACGACTTGGAAGATGCACCGGTCATGCGAGGGCTCCGTACCACACTGTTTGATGTGAGTGTAGAATCCAAAAAAGTCGTGGCTCACCTTTTTTTGGTGAAGAATTCTCGTGCTCCTCTTCGATCTAGACTGACCCAGAATGGTTCTCTTTTGGACCCTTTGGCAAAGATCCGCGAGTTTGAATGGGGTTTCCACCTGCTTGGCTGGGCGTCTCTGGCTGTTACTTGCCTGCGTTGTCCTGTCTGGCTCGTTTCCCGCCGTCTCTGGTTTGTACCTGCTTGGTTGCGCGTTTCTGGCCGTCGCGCGTCTCCTCTGTCCTTTTTCTGGCTCGCTGCTAATTTTTCCTTACCGGGCCCCTCCGCGAAACCAGAAACCACGTAAAAACCACGGTTTTTTACTTTCGCCAACAAAAAAAATTGGGATCGGCCGAGGCTACGAAACACCATTTTTTTGTGACTTCACACACACACACGAAACACCGCAAATTGCGATGACTTTCTGGCACCCGCTCCCCCTGCTGCTGCTGGGGTCGGCGGATAATGGGCATGTCATTTCGCAAGAATTCGAGGGTTGGGTTTTTTGCGTACGACGGAGTTCACCAGTGAATGCTGGAAGCGCCAACTCCTGGCTTCGCACACATACCATTCCTAGCAACAAGCACGCATGTCCACATCTCATTAGGGTTTATATGGGTTTATTGGTTTAGGGTTTTAGGCTCTAGGCTTTGTTTTTCCGAAACAAATGGTGGGTAATTTAAGGTTTTTCTGCAGTATACAGAGTCTTGTTCCGAGTAGAGAACGTAGGGGTTCATCCCAGAGCCGGGTTGTGAGTTGGAATCCAGACGAATGGATAAGTACAAAAGCTCCCCAGGAGAACCCTCTCAAAATGTGGAAACACGGATATTCACCAAGATGATGACGCGTTATATAGTTCATACTCTCCAAGTTGATCAGTTTTCGTATTTCCAAACTATTAACACATCAAGGGTATAACTCTATAGAACTCATGACTCGGAATATCCACCACTCTCCAGGCCCAACGCACGCACCTACACCGCTGCTATGAGTGCCTGTGAGCAAGGCCAGGTGCCAGATTTATCCAACAGTCACATGGGAATGTCACCAGAAACATATGATATTTTGCCAGGCATTGAACCACATTGAAATTGCCTTTTGATGCCTTTTGTGTTTGGCGGGTTCAGATTCTACTTAACTTACGTTGTGTGCATTCGCATAACATCTCAATGAACCAGGTACTTCGTGGGATCCAGCGAGAATTGCGCAATGGACCTTCCGCCATACATGGAGGTTTCCGTTTCGTCATGGGGGTACCCCTAGTTATCATCCATTTATAGATAGATTTTCCATTCCCAAGAAACACATCAATTTTCCATATTTCTGTGTGTTTGGCCGAAGCCACGACGACACGATCCTGCAATCCAGGCGAATGCTGGGACGGGGCTCTGGCTCTTCTTGCTCTCATCCCAGGCAGACTGGGGAACATGGCGCAAGATATTTTATTACTAGATGTTAAACTATCTAATTGTATCTTTTTATATCTTATTGTATTTTATTATACGTTATTGTATGTTATTATATCGTTTTATCTACTATTACATGTTGTTATATGTTATTATAGTTTTTTTACTATATGTTATTATATCTTTTTATATTATATTGTTTACTATAATTTATTATATGTTTAAGTTTATTATATGTTATTATATCTTACTGTATATTATTATATGTCATTGCATCGTATTACAAAATATATGGTTATATGTTTTTTATGTTATTATATGTTATCATGTATACTAGATATTATTATTGTTGTTTTTATTATTACTATTATTGTCATTATTATGAAAAAAAGTATATATATATATTATATCATATAATAGATTGTATATATGTAATGTTTGAGAATACAATGATACAATTCATCTTTTATCATATTTGTGTGGGTTTTGACGGGAAATCTTAAGCCACATGAAACATGTTGGGTTCAAACAAATACATAGATCATCAAACGGTATATGAATTATCTAAGTCAAAACGGTTGGTCTTGTTGTGGACAGTGGAACTGCGGCGACCATTCCCACATTTTGTGGGTCAAAATATGTGTATATATTTTTATATACGTCGATTATGCGTATTGATATGTGTACATGTATTTGAGTACTTAGGTGCTCAAGGTGTACCTATAGCTTTACATGTTTGTTAAGATGAAGTCATGATCATGGTGGGTAAGGAGTTGCACTTGGCGAAAGATACTCTGGAAAGTGAGGGTGAAAAGCATGCACTTTAAGCATCCTTCATCTTCCAGTTACCTGTCAGATGAGGTAACCAACCCCACAAGCATGGGTAAAATGGGTAAAATCAGCCTAGTGACATGGATCTTGGGTCTCTTTAAGTCCCTCCGGTCAAATCGGCCGTAAAAAAAACCACAGTTTTCATCGGTATCCCCATTGATTTGACCTGAAAAAAAACCAGCCTTGTGAACCCACCAAGCTCTCATCCATTCTTGTCGCTTATGGTTTTTCTGGTGATTTCCCCATTTCTTTGTCATATTTTGTCATCTAATCTTTGCATACTTCGTGGATAAGTGGCAAATCATAGGTAAATTTATGCATTGTAGAGTTGTCACCCTTGTCGTTGGTCAAATCCTCATGCTTGATTCCATTTGATTCCTCAAAAATCCCAAGTTTTCTTGGTCAGCTCATTTTTTTAGTGCATGTACCATCTGGTTATGACTAACATAGCCATGGAAATCCACCCATTTTTAAGAACGGTAAACAATCTTTTTTCATGGGTCATTTCCCATGGCTATGTTAAATAACCAGAGGGTATTAACCATGGTTATTTCACTACATTTCACTGATCAGAATTTCCCCGGTTAGTTATCGTTTGCATGATCCTCTTTGGCCATCTCGATGATTGGTTTCAACCCCAATTCCCAAAGATATCTGAAATGAGGCCCAAAAACAGCATCTCTTCATATCTGTTCCATCTTTTTTCACATCTTTTCATGATGTTCCATGATTTTCCCACCTTTTTTCAGGGACACCGGACCGGGACCACCGTCGCCTCCCGGTGCGTTGCCAGTTCCGGACCTCGTGGCCTACGGCAGTGCCGTGAGTTGCTGCCAGCGCCGCTGGCGCGAGGCCTTGGAGGTGCTGGAGCAGATGCGACGGCGAGGCAGAGATGCGGAGATGCGGATGCGGTCGGAAAAAGGTGATATTAGGAATGATACAGAATAATACCATGTAATATAATATCAATATACCAATATACCATTATATATCATAATAGTATGATATATCATTTAATATTGATATCAATATATCAATGTATCAAGTAATTTCAATATAATATCATATAATATCAATATACCATATATATATATGTGTGTTGTTACCTAATTATTGGTGATATATATATATATAGGTAGATTACCTAATATCATTGTATTTATCATATTAACAACACTATCTATCATATCCCTGATAACCAATATGATATCAAGATATCATATAACAACAATAGCTATCATATGATAATTAAAGATTACCTATTAGGTGATATTACCCATTCAATCCTATTAATAATATCAACATTCTTAAATTGTTATTGGTAATGATATCATATCATATCTAAGGTGATATATTACCTAAATATCAATATCATTGATTTGGTATATATATTTTAGCAATAATAATAGATATATTAAACATGATAACATTCCCAACCGACCGGTTGATGATGGTTGATGGTTAGTTTTTTGCTATTTTTCTGGGCGATAACCAGCCAGCAAACGTTCTTTTTGTGGTGGACTATCAAGGATTGACTATGTTTTTTCGGCCCCTGGCTCCTCTGACCATGATAATATCCATTTAGGCAACAATGGTCATGATATCAGCTGATAATGGCTCCTAAATAGGCATTATTGGCCGTCATATGTTTTTTCATTCATGATAATACCATGACAATGATATCCATGGTATTGTTATCATCTAGGAACCATTATCAGGACAATGATATCATTACACTGATATTATAGATAAATATAATTATCATCCGATAGTAACGGATCATTATATTGATTACATATGCAATATTGACTAGACTTAATCTTGAGTATCCACTCAACTAAACATGTTTAGAATCACATCGGCGATAATGGTCATGATATTGACTACAAATGATGGCTTTTTCAAAGGTGATAATGGCATCACGAATGGCCATATGCAACAACAGCAATGGCCATACTCAGTGATCCATGACTTACCCTCTGGTAAACATACAAAAAACTATGGAAAATCACCATTTTCAAATGGTAAATCAGCTATTTCTATGGCCATGGCTTCAATAGCAAACTGTTCAATTACCAGAGGGTATATTCCATTAAGTGGATTATAATCCCATTAAAACCCAATGAATGCCAATTAAACCTCATTAAATCCCTAACTCACTGTTAGTTTACCAGAGGGTACAAAGAATCATCTCACGTGGATCACTGAGTAGCAATTGCCATTGGGTTCCAAGGAGGATGGGGCGTTTACGCCGCCGGTCACAAGTGTGACCTCTTCAACTGAAACTGAGAAAAATCGTACGATGATATCACCAGCACTATAGATGAACAACCATGCAAGTTCAATGTTTGTTGACCTATGGGTGTTACCATTTGGTTATTGAACATAGCCATGGAAAATCCCTTATAAATGGAGGTTTTAATGGGAAAATAATCTATAAATGGGCCATTTTCCATGGCTATGTTAAATAACCAGAGGGTATCTTGAAAACATTCATTACAACGGGTCTGCTTTCCGGATGGCGCGGTGTTCCATGCTGTTGGTTCTCAGCCATGCAACTGGAGTACAGATATACACACCATCAACCCCTCGATTTATGGCATAGATTACCCTCCGGTAAACGTTTACATAACTATGGAAAATCACCATTTTAATGGGTAAATTAACTATTTCTATGGGCCATGTGCAATCGCTATTTTACATGACCAGAGGGTGTGTATATATGTATATATATATATATATTACATTATTTACATATTATATATATTGATGGCACTTTGAGGCAAACTGATGATGATCCAGTATCTCGGTATTTCTAAACATTCCAACGCCAGTGTCGAAATGTTCACAGCCACTATTTCATCGCTCAATTTATGAAACAGCCCATATGTTTGCAGGTTTTTGCAGGAGTTCTGAAACACCAAATTGGTGAGTGTTTCATCCTCTTCAACCTATCTCTCTACTGTGAAGGACTTGAACCCAATTTCATCATCTACAGTGCTGCCATCGCCGCCTGCGAGAAAGGCGCGCATCTCTTGTCGCCGTGTCATTTTGAGGTTGATGTTGGTAAATATAAACCATACATGGAGCATATCGGAAACTGGTTGGTGGTTTGGAACATTTTTATTTTTCCATATCTTGGGAATTTCATCATCCCAACTGACGAACTCATATTTTTCAGAGGAGTGGCTCAACCACCAACCAGGTATGGAAATCTTCGAAATACTTTGTGGATCTGCGAGGTTTTGTATTGGATCCTGGGGTCCCATGGTGTTTATATAAGGTCCTGTTTGGGGGGAACAACATGTGATTATACCCACGTATATCCCATGCATAACCTGGGGAAGGTACAATATGGTTGGTATCCGCTTGAGTGGAATATAGTGGAATGCACATCCAAGTAGTTCTAACATAATAAGCATAGGGATGGGGAATATAGTTTACCATATCGCCATATATCGCCCATAAACCGCTGGGTTGCAAATAGGGTTTATGATCAAACATTGGTCTCGATGGGGATCTAACCAAACCTATACCAAACCTTAATGGTTACATAGCCAGTACGGAAGCAACACTGCGGATCCCTCAGCTTTGCCACATTAGATGGTTTTCCCATTCAAACCTCCATTGAGTTCAGGCATGTCCCAGGCCAAAGCTTTTTGTGGTTCACAGATCACCCAGCACTGGCCTCGCACAGGCGAAGAATGGCAGATGGCTCTACAGTTGTTGGATCGCCTCATTTCAGTGGACTCTATAGCACCTCAGCAACACCGATGTCGTGGACCGAAATGATACCCTTCAAAAACTGTTACCCTCTGGTAAACGTTTACATAACTATGGAAAATCACCATTTTCAATGGGAAAATCCACTATAAATGGTCATTTTCAATAGCTATGTTAAATTACCAGAGGATATAATCTGCTATAGTTAGGGTCAATTCTTGTTGGATCGTGAATAGTCCCAGGTGGCAGATGGTGCATGATAGTGCCTTGAAGTTGTATAAATGGTAGTATGGCGAGTTATATACAGTATGTGCTTGTCATCTTTTTCCCAAAATGGTGGACACCTATTTCATGGTAATTTGGCAGGGACAAAATGACTTTCTAAACCACGAGATTTCCTGGGGTGAAGCGTATACCGCTGGGCTTGATGGCGGTTAATCACAACTTAATATTATTATATGTTGGAGTGGATGAATTGTTGATATTGTAGTTGGATTGATAATGTATGGCTGAAATAATATCTATGATAAGCAATATCCAGTAATATATTGCATAATATCATAATATCTTAAATATCTATAATATATCAATGAGATATCAAAAATTGTAGTTGGATAATATCATGGCAGTATTGTAGTTGCTGGATAAACTATGATAATCTTAGATGATTCTGTGGCCATACACTTGGCTCATCTCCAAATGGGGCTCTTTGGATTGGATGCCACCTTTGGAAATCTCCCAATGGGTGGACATGGGCTACGAATATTTGTTGTTTCTTACTATGAAAACATGCTTAAAGCATAACCCATCAACCATGAAACATTTGAGTTTTTAGGTGCCAATCGTTTTGAACCCTACCAGAACCCGGGATGTGAACACCCACCACGCTTTCGAGTTGTTGCAGCTGATTTTCAGCTCTTTTCACGCCAGGGCTGCGTCCTGGCGTGCCTTTATGATCCCGAGCTGGCCATGTGACGCCCTTGGAGCGCTACGCGGCATGTTTGGAGCCACAAACAAAGGCTGCAATGCCTTTCATGTACACAGTGCCATTAGAAGCTGTGCTACAGATGGCGTTGAAGCACATGAAAGCCAGGCTCAGGGCCTGGTGGAATTTGAGAATTTGGGGCAGTGTTCCTCTCACCAGTGCGCCACGGACTATCCAGATCCTGATTTCGCCCATACGTCACAAAGTCTCTCGTTGGTGGTTTCAAACAGACGATTTTTCCAGGGGTGGCTCTTTGCCTGACTCAACCACGAGGTGTTCTTTCTTTTTTGCACTTTGCACCTGGAAGACCCTGCGGACCCTGCCAAAGTGTTCATCGACCTGGGGGAATAGAGGCTGGTACCGGCTTGAAAAGACAATGCGGGAGCTTTCTGACGGCTCTTGGATTCTAATTAGAAAGTGCTGAAAGTATAGCTCTGGTAGTGGCATACAGGGCTCTTGGCTCCCAAACAAGGAGACTTCGCTGTGGCCAGTGATAAAGCCAAACTTGGATCAATCCTTCAGGCAGCCCAGCGCAAAATGATCATACCGTCTAGTGCGAAACATGCAGAGACTTCATTTGCGAAATGTTCCTGCTGAGTTGGAGATCTGGTGCCAGGGTTCATCCCAAGCTGCAGTTCAGATGACACCCTCTCAAGTGTGGAGATTTTTTGTACCAAAATGGCTTCCGAAACATCTGTGAAGTAGACACTGCGGGCTTCATGCCACTGCATTATGCTTCTCAGGGTGGAGAACCAGAGTTAATCAAAGTCATGTTGGAACTGCGGGCAGATCCCAGAGTCACCACGGGTAAGGGACAGCCCGCAGTGTGGGGATTCCACCCTATATCTCAACCCTTAGTCTGGCACTGCTGTGTGATCACAATGATGCTGCCCGCGACGGGAGCTCATTTGCAGCCTTTGAACTCGTGCGGGAAGGTGTCAACATCTCCGAGCTCCTCCATGCAATGGATATGTCCCACAAACGCGGCATTGCTGAAATTAGCCTTCGGCTGATTGAGCCCAGGGCCGATATCAATGAGCACTGGCACGTTCGAAGGCTGACACCTTTGGGAGCCTTGGAGGCACTCCAGTCCCTTCGCTATCAATTTGGGAAAGACACAGCTCTAACACGACTCAGTTACCATGACGGCTCAACACCTCTGATGACGGCCCTTCTGCTGGGGAACTATGAGACTGCCATGCTTCTACTCCGCGAGGTAGCTGGATTGGATCTCCGTAATGAGAAGTTCACAGCTGCAGATCTGGCGCAAGCCCATAAGCTCCAAGAGATACTGCAGGGCGATTCTGTGTAGTGTGACTGCAGTGACTGCATGTCGAGCCTTGAAGACCTGGGCTTGTGTTTGTACCAAGCCAGATCGCGACAAGAAAAACTGATCTAGAAGAGTGGGAGGCTTCAGTCAGCGCAATGTGGCAGTACCAAACCTGAACATGTTCTTTTCCCAGGTTCACAGGGGTGCCCCAAAAAAAGACTGAGTTGCCCCTGATTAAAAAAAAACATGTCACTTCATATCCAGGAATCTCTCAAGCACCAGGGTTTTCCTACACCCTCGTTTGGTCGAACATCAACCTCGGATTGCTGAACCTCTGAGTTGCGCAATACTTGGGTGTGCATGTCAGGAAGTGGACAATGGCCTATCAAAACAAGAAAACATATCTCTTTTTCTTTGCACATTTATATATATATATATATACACAATCATACAGACATGTCTTTCGATGTAATGCAATGCAATGTACTGTATGTATACACAACGCTGAGAATGTCAGATATCCATAGATATCCAATATCCAATATTATTACTGAGTTCATAGCAATACAACGGGATCAGATACAACGGGATCAGAAACCATTTGCAACCTCTCGAGGTTCCCTTCAACTCCGCCCTCAGTGCTTGTGAGAAGTGCTGCGAATGGACTTGGGCCCTGGAACTTCTGCAGTCGATGGAGACGTCAGGTCGGCAGTTGAGGGAGGCAATCCCCAAACACTGCCACGTCCGCACTGACGTGATGGTAAATTTGGCTGTCTGAAAATAGGGGATACACCCAAAGAGCCATTTTAATAGAGGAAATGATGATAATCCATTGGAATTGGGAGCAGCCTATTTTCAGAAAAAAACATTTATAATTATGTATATACATTATATATATATATAATTATATATCTTTAAGGAGGAAGATTATAATGAACTATCTATAAACATATACTGTACATGTTGAGAAGGAAAAAATGAATCTATTGACGGCCATGAAACCAATCGCTGTATCCCTTCTTGAAATGATCACTAGCGAACCACCGGCTGTGTCTAGCATCATTGGTTTCTTTGTTGTGCCACTTTGTCATAGACTGGTACCACCTGATAACCAAACTTGTTAATGGAAAACTCAATTTTGACTGGGCATTACCAGAGGGTATCGTGGGTTCCCCCCACAAGTATCCAACGGTCTTCCCGTTTGCTCTCGAAACGGGAATTCTTTTGGACCATCCAGGGTTCAACATTCATTCAGGTTTGACATGATGGCTAGTTTGGGTTGGTCCTATGAAATAGCTGGTGAATTCCTAGGATGAAAAGGAATAGAAAGTAGAAGAAGAAACAAAAAAAACTGTATAGCTTTATTGTCGAACATGGACCCGGGTGCAAAAATGAACATTCTGCATCATAACCGTAAGCATGGTTTTCATGTCCGGTAGAATTTCCACACGGATTTCCTTCCCATTGGGACGAACATGTTCGACAAAACAAGGGGGTTCATCCTGGATCTTTTTGTTTGTGCCATCAAAAATTACGCTAGATCATGATTATCCGTTATACGTATACATATACATAATATATACATAATATATACATAATATATACATAATATATACATAATATATACATAATATATACATAATATATACATAATATATACATAATATATACATAATATATACATAATATATACATAATATATACATAATATATACATAACTTATACATAATATATACATAATATATACAGTATGTATATACAGTATGTATATACGCAGTTACACATGATGCGTATACATTACCATCATGATCTACCATCCATCCGCCCATTCATCATCATCAGCATCATCAGCATCATCATCATCATCATCATCAGCCATACACTACAAATCACCAATCACCATCTACATCATCTATCATAATCTATTCTCGTCATATTCAATCGTTATCTGGAGTATGGATCAAAACCTACCATCTGGTTATTTAACATAGCCATGGAAAATCCACCCATTTTTAAGAGGTAAACCATCTATTTTCATGGGCCATTTCCCATGGCTATATTAAATAACCAGAGGGTATCAAAAACATTCAAAAACCACAATTACAAACCATTTTTGATGTTCACCCCGGGGGTACAGGGCTTTGACCCATACCGATTTACCATGCTGGATGTGCGTGCCCCACTTGGTAAGTGCCTTATAATCCATATATAAACCATATAATCCCATGCATAAGTGGGGATATTGCATATATCACTGGGAGCCCGCACCCCATCCCGCGGTTCCAGGCCTTGTGCCGGATCAGATCACCTTAAGCGCTGCCATACTCGCCTGCGATCGAGGCAAAGCCCTCGTCATGACCTGTGTTTTTTTTGGATGCGGATACCCTCTGGTAAACTAATATTCTGGGTAAATTATAACGACCTCACTGCGACCTCACTGGAATCATAGTTAATAAGGGAAATCAACCCAAAATGGCCTTAATTCAGGTTAGTGAAATATTATAATTTACCCAGAATATTAGCTATGGAAAATGGCCCATTTTTAAATGGTTTACCTATTAATAAATGGTGATTGTCTATAGTTATGTTAAATTACCAGAGGGTACCTGTTGTTTTATTGCCTAGTACTGAGCTCCAGTTACTAATCATTGACTAAAACTATCCCAAATTCCCATATATTTATTGGATATCTCCATGATTTTCCATTAAAATCTATAGGTGTTATCCATTTGATGGTCCTCCAAGTACTGGGCAAACAAAATGAGTGGCTGCAAGACCGTTGCTTCATGCTTAGTTCAGGGATGTTTCACCATTGTTAGTTGAGGGAATATCAATCACTTTAAACATCTTTAAACAAATTTCACAAAATCCCATGGAAATCGCATTAAGTCACAATTTGTTGCTGCAAATTTGCCACCAAAAAAAACCACCTGTTGCGCCTCCCCGTTTGCAGCCTGGCGTTGGCCATCCGTCCTACAGCTCTTGCAGCAGCTGACGGAGAGTTCCGTGGCAAGGAACTTCCTTAACAAAAGGGGTCCCATCGAGATGATGGGGACATAAAATCTGGTTGGTGGTGACTGGAACCATATATATATATTGGGAATAATAATAATATGGTTAATATAATATGGTTAAATATGGGAATACCATATATGGTTAATATAATATGTATATATATATATTGGGAATTTCATCATCCCAACTGACGAAGTCCATCATTTTTCAGAGGGATAGGTTGAAACCACCAACCAGAAATTATTTCGGATTGTTTGGGATGAATTTGTTTATAGATATCTTCATGATTCATGGGATTTAACATGATTTATGACTAACAATAATCTAATTTATCATTAATTTGGGTATTCTTAATCATGAACATGGCGATATCATTCATACTTGATGGTCCGTGATGGTTAAATGCTGGTTGATTGATAATATTATAATATATTATAATTATGTTGAGGATTATCACAATCCATGAACTTCGAGATCCTAGGAACAGCAACAACTGCGAAATCCTAGGAACAGCAACCGCCTGTGGATCAATGGAATTCGGAGTTTTCGTTGATTCTGCATGAATCTGCGGTAGGTAAATGACCAATATGAATAGGAAACGGAGATTTAAATCCTAAGTTTGGGGTTGTGGGTGGGGTGCGACCCACTTCTTACAGCTGCAGTATTGGTTGGCCCTTCAAATTCCACTGGTCACTGATGTCGACAATTATCCTCTGTTTACATGCTTTGTTGGGTGGATAGTGTGAATATCCCGCAAAGCAGTCCTATTGCTTCTGCATTTTGTCTAAATCCTTTTATCCGTGTCGTCTGTGTATCTCACGTCATCTTCATTGTTGGTGATGTCGCAGCCCAGAGATGTCCTCATCATGTGTCCATACCATAGAGTCCCAGTACTGTTTAGTATCCCATTACTTGAAGTTTGGAAGTTCTCTCTGGCGCATGACAAGGTGTTTGAACCCAAAAAAAACACCCCAAATACAGTCTCAGAAGCTCTCTGGAGCAGCAATGTGGTACCCTCCAGTTATGTTTGTTGGTTCATCAAGCCATGCAACTACAATGATATACTGGCCATAAACCCGTGTTATTCTAGTTGTAAAGCCAATTAGCTATCGAACTAGAGCACTACCTTGCGGGCAAGTGCCAAGGTACATTGAAGTTGGACGTTGTGACATGCACTTCTTGCGTCTCAGCCTGTGACTTGGAGGCACTTGCGGATTGGGAGCCAAGGGAATTGGCATTGAAGCCCATGATAATATCATGGATCTTGGTAAATTATAACGACCTCACTGCGACCTCACTGCGACCTCACTGCGACCTCACTGCGACCTCACTGGAAAATTTGATGGAAAATTTGATGGTTAGTAAGGGGAATCATCCCCAAATTGGTGGCCTTAATTCAGGTCAGTGAATTATTATAATTTGCCCAATGGATGGGTGTGTCCGAAAATGGAGCCCCTACTGCCCATTTGTGGTTGTTTCAATGGAACATGATGATTCACCGGTTGATGTTGGGATATTGTCACGAAGTCCGCAGGACAATGTTAGTGTTTTCCCACGGTTTTGAACCCTAACTACTTCTCTGTATCATGTCAAATCTTATGACTATATAACTAGATGTCCATGTTAGTGATATTAATTTCGAAGTCCGTTGAGCAGAAATATGATCAAAGGGTATGCTATGACAAAAAAAGACCGGGCGCCACATCAATGATCGTCAAGATTGCAGGGAATCATTCAGACATGGCTCAAGAAGTCAGGTGTGCGATTTGGTTGTAGAACGTGTGGATTTCCATCCTCTGACGAGAATTATTCAAGCTGATCAACAAATCAATGCAAAATTAGAACAGCGACATTGATCAGCTTCCCATTTATCCCTGACAAAAAATTGGAAGAATCACATGACCGCTTCGACTCTGGTTGGTGACTGGAACCATGGAATCTTATGACTTTCCATCTATTGGGAATTTCATCATCCCAACTGACGAAGTCATATGTTTCAGAGGGGTGGCTCAACCACCAACCAGACGACGAAGCTACGACGTTTCGGACGTTTCGGCTTCACCAACGAGGCCAGAAGGGCGCACGATGGCGAGATGTTCTGACCTTGCTGGCAGCCGAAGACTTCGCGGGCCTTGAGTTGTTACGTTCCACAGAGGATCCAACCAAGACGGGTGTGGTGGGTTTAATGGAGACGTCCTCAAAGTTTCTATGGTTCTGGAGTGGTACCCGGCCAGGTAAACATACAAAAAACTATGGACAATCACCATTTTCAATGGGTAAATCAACTATTCCTATGGGCCATTTTCAATAGCAAACTGTTAGTTTACCGGAGGGTGAAATTCAGGAGAAATCCACCATAGACATAGACAATTCCACCATTTTTAATTGAACATTCTCTATCAATGGCTGGGTTTAATGGGAGAATCCTCAAACTCAATGGATTTACCAAGCCATGGAGCTGATTTCCAGACGCTATTTGGTGAAGCTGTGCTCACCAAAGTTGATGGCGAGCAAGTGGAACTACCCTCTGGTTATTTAACATAGCCATGGTATAGATGGCCCATGAAATTAGATGGTTTACTGAACTTAAAAATGGGTGGATCTTTCCATGGCTATGTTAGTCATAACCAGATGGTATCCCAAAATGGCCTTATACATATTTTCTTAGGAATGATTCATTTTTCTCAAGAATGGTGAAAATTTTGTTATGGACAGCCAATAAAAGTGCAGACAGGTGGCCGCAGTGTCTCATGTTCCACACATCCATGGTCGATCATTACGACATGCCTCTTCAATGGCCATTCGGGGTCGTGTATCCAGTATCCAGAGCATCCCATATTTTGAGATCAACCCCTATCTAGCACTTGCCATCAACTGGTGCTTCAAAGTGACCTTTTCAAGCAAACATTTGAGGTCACTTGGGTGCCCAAAAAGGGTCACTTAACCACATCATTTTCGGGTCACTTTGAAGAATCTGGTAGTATAGTCTTGTTGGCAAAGATTCCCATCCTTGCTGGTTGAAGTCTCTATTTCGTTGCTGAGCCTGGTAGGTCATGGTAGGTCATGGTAGGTCGGAATTCCTTGGACAATTTCTGGCAGCTTTCATGGGAGAGTACTATCCTGCTAATTGTGAAGTTCCGCAGGCAGGGTATCTCTATTTCTATGGTCAAATCATGTCAAATCCTTTTTAGTTGCTCCATTCGCACCATTGAGGCCTAGATTCCCAATCTTGAGTATACAAATGATGAACCATGACTTGGAATATCTTGGAAGTTTGAACATGTTAACGAACATCTTTGAACTATAAAAATCTATAAAAATCATGTTCCAAGCAAGCTATTTAAGGAATGATCCTCCCAGTCGCAGGAGATGTGGCTAAGCTGATGGCGCCAAGTTGCCGAAAAAAAGGGCTGGGCTGCGGGGAGACCTTGATCCATGTTCCCTCTGGTTATGACTAAGATAGCCATGGTATAGATGGATGAAAATGGTCCATAGAAAATAGATGGTTTACTGAACTGAAACATGGGTGGATCTTTCCATGGCTATGTTAATATGGTTTAATCTGTATATAGACTGGTTGGTGGTTTCAAACATGAATTGTATTGTCCATCTCATATATGAATAATCCCAACCCCATTGACTTCCTGCATATGTTTCAAGATGGTTATTGCACCATCAACCAATATATGTCATAATGCTGCACAAGGATATGAAATGATATCAAATGATATATCATTTAAGATACGATGATTTTTGGGTTCTGGTTTCAGACATCAAGTGCTAGGTAGGAAGTCATGGCTTCTGCAATAGATTGGGGGGATTGACATGGGTTGAACATTTGGTCTGTGGTTTCACATAGGTTCTTGCTATCCAGATTTTTCAATATCCCGACCAAGATTCATTCACCCCGCATGTGGCTGAAATGTGGGTACATATGCCATGTAGTATGGACCAGGTAGTGGTGCTAGCACTCAAAGATTTGCTTAGCCTTGCGACTTTTGGCTGGAGGGTTTTGATGTGAATGGCACGAAAATTTGGGCAGTCTGAAAATTTGGGCATACCCGACATTGCGTTTTTGTTGTTGATTTTGTTCCTTCCCTTGAGGTTCTTTGGGGGCAGAACCATTACCTCAGTTTTACACCACATCTTCATGGCATTCCTGCAGAAGATGTTCAGTTCGTGCATGTCTTGCATGACGTGTCCCAGGGTTTCATGTGCTTTGCATGTTCTTGGAAGACTACCCTCCAGTAATCAAACATAGCAATGGTAAATTTTACAGATGATTTTCTGGCCCTCCTTGGTGTGTTCCTGCCAATCAGCTGCACTGCCGTGGCCGCTCTCGCCCTGGGCCATGGCATCGGTTGCGCTAGTTGGCCATGGCACACGAAGGTGCCGTCCTGGAAATGGTAAGATGTACTCCCTGAGAATCACCCAGCGAGTGCGGCCAGATTCCTTGCAATTCTCACGTCTAGTCTGATGTTGGAATGTGTTGAAATCCCTCTAAGAACGTCTTCATGTAATCAATGGGTATGGCTCAAAATGCTAAAATGGATCCTGAAGATGGCTTCTTGTCGTTTTCGATGTCATGCCTTTCTCTGGAGCCCTTCATCTACTGCTCGCACAAGAGGATGGGCTTTCCAAGTGCTCCCCTTGCATGATGGGACAATTTATAGGAGGCCCCTATATTTCCGGGTAAAGTAATCATGTTTTCTGCCAAAGTTTCCCTTAAAACTGTCTTTAATTAAAATAATCTTCCCTTGGATCAATCCATTGAACTTTTCTATTGGTTGTCATATTTGTTCTGGTTGGTGGTTTAGAACATTTTTTATTTTGCCACATATTGGGAATTTCTTCATCCCAACTGACTTTCATATTTTTCCGAAGGGTTGAAACCACCAACCAGTGTTGGTGATATCATAAATCATGTTACGTCATGTATCCCTGCAATATCCCTATGAAATGGCTGGTCTTATCTTACAACCCATCTCCCATTGTTCACTGTTGTATTCTGGAGCTATGTTGTTTTTGTCAAAACATCGGTGTTTATCTACATCATTCATGTAGATTGAATGTACAAACTCTTGTTCATTGATATTCGGTTTAAGATTCATGTGATTCCAATAGTAACATGCGTTCACAAATTTACAATGGAGAATGAATATTGCAATGTGAAGCCCCCAAGATAGCTAAGTTGGTTTGTAACTCCAATAACTATGGTTTATGGTACTTATAGCTATAGTTACTGGGGCTTATAAACCAACTTATAACTGGGGGCCTCACATTGTGGAATACCTCATAATTATACTCTATGGATCCACCAACTGCCCGAGCAAGTGAGCCCGTAAATCATACCCTGGTCATACTGAAGCTACGGCTGGATCCATAGTCATGAACTGATTGGTGGTTTGGAACATGATTTTTTTTTGCCATCTATTGGGAATTTCATCATCCCAACTGACGAACTCATATTTTCAGAGGGGTAGGTATACCACCAACCAGTGAACATTGCATTTTCACCCTCTGGTAAATTTGTTGCAGAGTTATGGACAATTTACCATTAATCAAACATTAATCAATAGGTTATATCATGTTATACCTTTCATGTTTCACATGTATTCCTGCCGCCGCTGCGTGAGGTGCTACTCTGGTGGATTACACCAAGGCCATCAGGCGCGAAGGCCGCGGCAGGGCACGGCAAAACACGGCTTTTGCACAGAGCGCGGGTGTTTGGAGATCAGTCAACATGTCAAACATGATGAAAATGAAGTGGATGAAAATGGTGGTTCATAGATAAATTTCTGGTGACTTCTGGTGATTTGTAGGAGATGTTGGTGTTTAACAAAGGGATTTATCATGATTTCTGAAAGATTTAGAGGGTTGTGTGCAGGATGATGAGTTTCTCGTGCTCTCCTAGTTCAACATCCCGCATGAAGAACTAGTTGCATAGAATTTAAGCTTAGAAATTCTCACGGTTTGCACACAATGTTGAGTTCTGCACGCGTGTATGTATATGTATTTAACATTGTACTGATTGGTGGTGACTGGAACATGGCTTTTTATTTTCCATTTCATATATGAGATAATCCCAACCCCATTAACGAACTCATATTTTTCAGATGGGTAGGTCAACCACCAACCAGTTGTATCATAGAATTGGAAGATGGGAAAATTTACAGGAAACCCCTATATTTGATGGTAAAAACCATGGTTTCCTGTAGATTTTCCCTTAAACCAATCCATTGACTGTATGTAAAAATGAGTTTATGCCATCTCAGCTGTGACGGCTCGGTACGCTTTGCTCCTCGAGGCTCCAGCGGCTGGACGCGAGCGATGGGGCTTTTTGCCAAGCTTCAAAGTCAAGGCGGGGAGGGGGCGAATCCGGGGAGGTCACCCTAAGGTATCCGACAAAAACCCATGGAAAATGGGGATTTCACCAACAAAATATAGGCTGGTTGGTGGTGACTGGAATCACTGGAACATGGCTTTTATGACTTCCATTTCATATATGGGATTCTTTACCAAGCCCATTGACGAACTCATATTTGTTCAAGATGGTTGAAACCACCAACCAGATGATGATTTTATTCCAACAAAAAGTGTTGATGATATGATAATGTTGACTATATGATTTCATATATAATGTTGATTCCAAAAATTGTTGATTATGTGATAAAACGATTATATGATATTATATGATTATAATTGGTTGTTTTATGGTGATATGATCAACACTGAATTACAGTAGTACCAATATTCCAATAATAGAGGGTTAGTAAACATGGTTTATACCAGAGATTTTAATATAGATGTATTATATCGGATAAGCCACTTGAGGGACTTATGAGCTAGGGTTATGAACCATTTATTGTTGAATCCCTAATGTGCTTTGTTTCTGGACATAAAATGATGGCATGAAGCCAACTAAGATATGGGGCTATGTTTTATTGGGATATTAATGGGGATGTAACCGTAACCAATTGAATATGATATTTGGATTTTGTCTGACCATGGGCATTTATCCCCAATAAAAAAAGGATAAAAAAGGCAGTTTTGATGAGGAATATGATTTAGGGGATGGCATGGGTGTATGTTCAGACAAAGCCATTTGACTTAAAAAGAAGACCCATTCGTCAACCACGTTATAGCCTCTGGTAAACTAACATAGTGAAGCCATGGCCATCCATTACAAATGGTGGATCTTTCCATCGTTTTTTGGTCTGTTTACCAGAAAAAAACGGTCAACTTAGCTCTCATTTTGAGGCACCATCCAGCCCTCCAGGTATTCCTCTGCAGCTGCCAGGCTTGCAAGGAGATCTGATCATGCGAAGCACGATCTGCAAAGTGCTTGGAGCTGCTGCGTGGCGCAGGTCCCAACTCCTGTTGGGCGACCTGGCGAAATTTCGGCCGAAAACTCACAGTTCGTTAGGGATTTCATGAGGTTTAATTGGGATTTCATGGGTTTTCATGGGAGTATAATCCACTTAATGAAATATACCCTCTGGTTATGTCAAACAGTTTGCTATTGAAGCCATGACCATAGAAATAGTGGATTTACCCAGCTAGAAAATGGTGATTTTCCATAGTTTTTTGTATGTCTACCAGAGGGTACCATGAGTTTCCAATGAGCCTTAACATCATATAGAAATATAGAGAAAATCATTGTCCATAATCTTCCAGAAAACTCATAAATGGAACGTCATGAAAAGCTAATAAATTGGCTTGGAAGGCGATTTCCATGATTGCTGATTTGTGCCTTCCGAGGTGTGGAGAAGAAGTCAGCTGTTTGTTCAACAGAGATCAGGATTTGACCAAGAAAGCGAATCCCATCCCCTATAATATTACTTATATATGACAACCCCACCATAGTGGACCCCAATTCATGAACAGTTCCAATAGGGTTTATGGGGGGTATTGACCCTTTAATATTCCGGAGAAGGGCCCTATAGAGGATTGTATTTTTGGCCTGTTTTGGGTTAAGATTCTTGGTTATGTGTCTGGTAATTTTTCGAGATTTCAAAGGATACATATTACATCATATTACATATATTCTTCATAGATTTGAGACTAGCCGACACGCATGAAGAGATAAAACTGTCAAAGCAACTGATGAGTGATAATTTGTTTGCTTTCTCATTCACAGAGACATATCCCCATTGAACAAACCATGGCTGATAGCAAAGCGGCACCTCCTTTTTCACCAAAAGGATCAGGGTTCAGAAATCAATTTGACCAGCCCAGGCAGTGTTCAACCAGATTTGATCCTGTACACCACAGCCATCAATGCCTGTGAACAGCACATGCAGCTTGGTAGGTCGTTTCATGCTCCAACATGCCCAGGGAATTCAGAACGGATATTTGTTTTGCTGCTGAACTTCCCGGCCCGTTCTGTCATGTTGGAGCATGTTCATCTCCGGTTCTACAAAAATTTGTCTGGTTTAAATCCACATGTTTGCTAACATCTCCATTCCTTTTGAATCCCAATGTTCAAATCAGCATGCATATGCTTATATTCTTGTCATTTGTGTTAGTTCCTCTCCCCAATCAGATTTGTTACAATCAACTATTGTTTGTTCTTGTTACATGACAAAAATACAATGGAATTGGGTGTGCTCACTATTCATACTTGGCTTTTCTAGGTCATGCGGGACCCCCCAAGTTGTATATACACACATCATGATATGTCCAAGTTCAACTGAGCATGTTTTGCCTGTGATTAATCCAATGGTTCCCACGAGGTTTGTTCAGTGGTTCCTGTATCTGTTCATGTCAAATCCCTTTGTTATTTATAGGTGCCATGTTTTCCATGCATCATTTTTGTGGAAAAAAAAAGCAACACGCTTTCCATATGTGGTCGGCAAGTCAGTTGGATGATCTTCCAATATTCCGGAGGATGGTCAAGAAGCCAGAAACATCGGCATAAAAAACCAACGAATCCTGGATTAGATAGATGGATGACCATAAACAAAAAAAACAATACATAAAACCATATAAAACCATAGCTATATATAACCATAGCCAAGAATGAAAAATACATAACCATAAAAATTCTATCTTTTGACCCGAAAAACACATCTTGTTGGTTCATCTCATGTCATTTTCGCAGAGTCCACCAGGTCATGGCCGAACCTCCCAGGCAGTGGCCTTCCGCGGTGACTTTGCTGCAGGCTTGCCGCGACACGCTGGGAATCGAGGCGGGCCCAAAGTGGATAGGAATGCGATCGGATCCCAACAAGATGGATTCATGAAACGGAATTATGATATGTACTTTACTAAGAATGTAATATACTAGACATATTTTTATACATATCATATATATATATATATATCATATATATATATTGTGTATGTATATATATATTATATGATATATATATATATTATATGATATATATATATGGTATAATATATATATATGGTGTATATATATATATATTATGATATATATATATGGTATCTATATATATATATATGTATATGATAGATATGTATATATATATAGATGGGATAAGCCACTCAAGGGACTTGCTAAGGGGTTATGGACCATCTATTATTGGGGATTTCACCAAGCCCTCCGAAAGCTGACCCGGGTTCACCTGTGGGGGGTTGACTGAATATCCATGATATGTATCCTCTGGTAAATTAACATAGACACTGAAAATAGTCATTGTTTAGTTGAAACTAAGCTAATTTACAAAAGGGTAATTTATACAATCAACTATATTTGTGACTCTCTGATTCTATGAGCATGGCCGGAAAACATGAATTTATAATATAGCTCTAACATGCTATAACTATGACCTTAACACCAAGGCAACGGTTAGAGTCCAACCAACCAAGCTTGTTCCATGGCTTTTTGCAGGACATTACGGCCACGAGCGTGGTAGCGACTGCACTGGGAATGGATGGACAATGGCAACATGCCATGCATTTGTTCCAGGCCCGGGAGATCCACAGAGATCCACCGAGGATTTCTTGCACCTGGCAATTTGGATATCCATCTTTCATATCTGAAAAAACCATCGTCATTTGGCACCAATTTTCAGAACTGAATAGCAAATTCTACAGCAGTTTGAAATATTTTTTGTTATGTTCTATCCAGAAAATGTGATGATGATCCCCAATTTCGAGCATAATTGTGAGTGGCTCAACCACACACCAGCTATCATCCCTAAACTATGAGTTACCAGTAGTACCGCACAAGGCGGTGGCGGAAGTTTCAAGGATAGGACACTATAGGAGAGGTGAGTTGTTGTGATGCATGGATGGCAGAGCGAATCCACTGATGGACCGAAAGGTGGTTGGAGTTGTGCTTTTTGATGCTGTTGAAGTTGTAATGTTGTAGTTGTAGTTGTGGTTGTAGTTGTAGTTGTAGTGTAGTTGAAGTGTAGTTGAAATTGTAATTGTCCTAATTGTAGTAGTTGTAGTAGTTGCAATAGTTGTAGGAGTTGTAGTTGTAGTTGTAACTGTAGTTGTAGTCGTAGTGTAGTGTCGTGGTAATTGTTGTTGTAGTAGTGTAGTTGAAGTTGGAGTTGAAGTGTAGCTGTAGTGTAGCGGAAGTTGCATTTGCATTTGTAGTTGCATTTGTAGTGGCACTTGTAATTGTAGTTGTAGTTGTAGTAATTGTACTTGAGGTTGCAGTTGTAGTTGTAGTTCAAATGTAGTTGAAGTTGTAGTTGTCGTTGTAGCTGTAGTTCTTGTAGTTGAAGTGTAGTTGAAGCTGTAGTTGTAGTGTGGTGTAGTGCAGTTGCAGTTGTCTATCTATCTATCTATCTATCTATCTATCTATCTATCTGTCTATCTGCAAGCTTGAAAACGAAGCAATTCTGCAAGACTTCCTCAACTTTTGAACTTGACTTCTGCGAGACTTCCTCAATTTTGGAAGTTGACAACATCAAAAACGAAGCAATTCTGCGCGACTTCCTTCAAAAATGGAAAGTTGAGTGCAGAGCTGACGGCCACGTAGCAATGCGTTTTGCGATTTTTCCACTCCACCTGTCTAAAGTATTGCGCCTGCCACCAGAAATGGATGCCAGGTCATACGAAGTGCTATACCTGTCGCGCAAAATCATCTCATCAAACCTACAGATCTGATGCTCCAAAATGCAACCTTCCTCAGGAAAGTAGCGCCCCAACCTCCTAACATCTCTGATGAACATTGGAATTGTGCTTCGCGCCACAGCAGCGTACACTTTTTCGACATCTCAACTTCCAAAAGTGCTCCGAGACCGTCAGGTTTTAACACTTTTGACTTGGAAATGTGCGTTGCGCCACAACGGCGTGCAACTTTTCATCTCTCATCTGGCCAAATGGCTCCGCACCCGCCGCTTTAGCGAGCCTACCTTTCGACTCTCCGGAGCCCCAAATCATTGGAAAAACATAGTGTTTGCGACTTTCCTACCTTTTTCGGCAACTGCATCTTCTCTCTTCTGACTCTTTCTCTTCTCTGATCTTCTCCGATCTTCTCTCTTCGCTCTTCTCTTCTCTGACTCTTCCACCTCTGTTGTTCCATCTGCCCATATTGTCGGATGTTTGACTTCTAAACTTCCTTCGGCTAGAATTAATAATTAACTATGATCCATACAAGGTGGGCCCGCCTCATTCATAACTTGGTTTAGAATCACCCCCTGAAGTAGATCGTAAAAACTCCTCCATAAACCCAACAGTTCACCAAGTGATGTGCGCCAACTTAGCTGTCACAAATGAGTTATGTGTATATATATATAACATATGTATATAACATCATATAAACCCAATAAAATCATTATTTTCTTGGTCGAACTACAATTTTCCGTATTTTTTACAATGGTTTTTCCTATGAAATCCGTGTTTTGTTGATGAAACCACCGTAGGGTTCCGGCGCTTCACTTGGCGATCTCACCGCGCAGAACATTCAGCTCAGCGCGTGTCGCGGGATGGAAAGAAGTGGATCTGGTGAAGCTAATGTGGGTAAATGGTTCATACTACCTATAAAATGGTGATTTGGGGGATGGTTTTAATATTGTTTTACCCAAATTATAAGGAAAATATGGGGAATGCCTTGGGTCTTGGGAAGATATGGTAAAGTATGGGGGAAGGCGTGGGGAACTTTTACCAGCACTTGATGACGGGTGTGGGTAGTGAGAGGTGGTAATTTCTCGCAAGAGTTCCACCTGGCATCTTGTGTTGCGACACATCCAGCGTCCAGGTGAGAAGGGCAAAGAATGGCGAACAGCAATGCCATCTGGCTGCAGCCAAGCACGGGGTTTTCGGACTAAACCATCTCCAAAATCACCATAGGTGGGTGGTATAAACCATCCCGAAATGGTAGGTTTATTGTTGGGTTTCCAACATTATTGCCAGATTCAGCTAGACGGCTCTGCATTGTTCTCCCCATAGAAAAGGTTCAGTTCATGAATTTCTGCGCTAGTTCATCAGGTTTCATCAGTTCTTATCAGCTTTGTTTCCCGCCATGAGAGCATCTGGGTAGTATTTCTGGAAATGAGGACCCAAGTCATCATCTTGGTTTAAACTGGCCATTTTCAGTGCGGAAACCTAGGGTATTGATTTTGAGAACACCCACATTAAAAAAAAAGCATCAATTTTGGTCCGATAGAAACGACCCAAGTTGTTAACCCATGAGCACATGTGTGTATTTTCTAGAATTGATGGTAGCCTGAACTTATTATTGTTGTTTCAATACAAAAATAGGCTAATTTGAAATGATTTGGGGGTACCCCTGTTTGAACAACAACCACATTTGGTTGTATGATGTTTGTTCCTTTAAATCATGTTGAGTCAGATTTGGAATGTAAATTTATTGATCCCAAAAGTTGAACCTATGAATTGAAGAAAAACATTTAAACATGTATGTCATTATACCCGTAGCATATACCCCTTTGAACCCATGAGTTGGAACACCGAACTTGTACCAGTAGTACCGCACAAGGCGGTGGCGGAAGTTTCAAAGAGAGAGGTTGGTTGTTGTGAATCAAGGATGGCAGAGCGAACCCACTGATGGATCGAAAGGCGGTTGGAGTGTTGGGCTATCTATTTGCCTGTCTATTTGCCCATTGCCATCTATCTGCCTATCTGGGCCTATCTATTTGCCTATCTATTTGCCTATCTATCTTATCTTACCTTATCTTATCTTATCTTATTGTCTGTCTGGTTGTCTATCTATCTGTCTGATTCTGTCTGTCTGGTTGTCTATCTATCTGTCTGATTCTGTCTGTCTGGTTGTCCATCTATCTGTCTGATTCTGTCATTCTGTCCTTCTGTCATTCTGTCAGTCTGTCAGTCTGTCTGCCTGCCTGCCTGTCTGTCTGTCTGTCTGTTTGTCTGTCTGTCTCTCTCTCTCTCTATCTATCTATCTATCTATCTATCTCTCTCTCTCTCTATCTATCTATCTATCAATCTATCTATCTATCTATCTATCTATCTATCTATCTATCTATCTATCTATCTATCTATCTATCTATCCACCTATCTCTCTCTCTCTACCTATCTATTTATCTGCCTATCTATCTTGCTTATCCTATCTATCTTTCTTATCCTATCTATCTATCTACCTATCGTTCTACCTATCTATCTACCTATCTACCTATCTATCTATCTATCTTCCTATCTACCTATCTATCTATCTATCTTCCTATCTATCTATCTATCTAATCTAATCTTATCTAATCTTAACCTATCTTATCTAATCTTTTCTATCTATCCTATCTACCCTATCTATCGTATCTATCCTGTCCATCCTATCTATCCCTATCTTTCCTCTCTTTCCTATCTATCCTATCTTTCCTATCTTTCCTATCTATCCTATATTTCCTACCTTTCCTATCTATCCTATCTATCCTATCTACCCTATCTGTCCTATCTGTCCTATCTGTCCTATCTGTCCTTTCTATCCTATCCTATCTATCCTATCTATCCCTATCTTTCCTATCTTTCCTATCCATCCTATCTTTCCTATCTATCCTATCTATCCTATCTATCCTATCTGTCCTATCTGCCCTATCTGTCCTGTCTATCCTATCTATCCTATCTATCCTATCTCCCTAAACTCTCGCGTCCGGCATCTTTAATGGCTTCCAATGCTTAACGTTGCTTTCCGACCCTCCGGAGCCCCAGAGCATTGGAAAAACACCATGATCTTTTTCCTACTGACTCTTTCTCTTCTATCTCTTTCTCTTCTCTGACTGCTCTCACCACGGTTGCTGCATCTGGCCATAAGTCGGAAGTTTGACTTGAAAATTTCCTTTGATTACTCATTTTTACATAAATGATATCCCGATATGTATAGATTGCAAAATCACCGAAAAGAACCCACGCATTGATCTATGGAATTTCCATGGAACCCCAATGATGGTACCTCCATTCCCATAAGCCTCGGATACAGAATAGAGGTTTTTTGTGGGAGTAGTATTGGAGTAGTATTGGAATAGTACGGAATAGGGGTCCCATCGGCCAAGGAGTCCTTATAAATTACACTAAAATTCTGGGTGCCCCAGGTAATTCCCGTTTTAATGGAGTGCTGCCAGTATGGAGCAATTACCCACCAGTATATTCCCATTAACGTCTAATTACTTCACCATAATTTTCCCATTAAATCACCTTTAAATCATCTTTACATTGCCACTAAATCCCCTTAAATCCCTTTAAATCCCAACATATAATAACACCCGTAAATCCCATGAACATCGTATTATAATCCCCTTATATACAGTAATTAAATCCCACTATAATCCCCTTAAATCCCCTTTAAATCCAATTATAACAATAACACCCCTAAATCCCATTCAATCACAAATAGAACCCCAGAAAATTCCGTTATAGTACCTTTAAATAGTCCGATAAAATTCATTATAATACCTTTATGTAAATCCCATTGAATCAGAATTTTAGTCCCATGAAATTCCATTCTAATCCGCCAAATCCCAGTTCCATCAAAATCCGATGCGTCATCATCAGTGTAGTTCCACTAGATTCCATTATTATTGGAGGTCTCGTGGAAAAGTGTAGACCACTGTGGAATCCTCAATTTTTTTGGAATTTATTCCAAAATGGAATTTTATTCCAAAAATTGAGGTCTGCCTTCCACAGTTTCCGCCTTCGCCGCCTCACCGTGACGGACCGGATTTCGTCGAACGCTTTGCTGAGCGCCTGTGGTGTGCGCGAGAAGTGGCGGTGCGGAGGGATGGGCTGGGGACTGGATGGCCATGCCACTTGGCAAGCTATATATATATATACATGTTTATATAATTATATATATACATTTATTTATTATTATATCAATATTTACAGATATAAAATATAGATATGGTTTATAGTATATAGATATTATAATGATATATACATGATAAAATATAGATATGGTCATTTGTTTACACAAAATGGTTATTTTGATATGGAACATGATGATTCTTTTCATGGATGATTCCCATATCTTTGTGGATCAGAGTGGCCTGCGTGGATCTAACGAATGGGATCCGTGGTCTAGCGGGGGAAGTGTGCTGGAAAGTCCAAAGAAAAAACTCTTGTCCCGGTATAATCCAAGAATTTGAGGACATTACCGGCATACGCACACCATATCATAGGTTTTTCATAAGTTGATGAAAAACATGTCATAGGTTGATCGAATATACCCAGGTTCTATCGAGGCGATTTCACGGATGGATGGATATGGATGGATACCAGGGAACCCGCAGACAGTGCCTTGACTAAGTGCCATGCAATTGATTGGTCTTTCTGGTAATGTCAACCCTGGATTAATAAACCCCGTTTACGGCTGTTTAATTGGGAGGGTACCATAACAAAGTATCAGATGAAATGACTATTGGAGGAGTACCCCCTAATTAATAAACCATGGTTTATTAATCCGGGGTTGACATTATCCCTGATCAAAAATGATGGAAGACAAGAGCTTAATCAACCCATATGCGATAGACCGGTCACTGACTCATCTTACTGGTTCTTCGCGCGTTCCACCTTATGATAACTTTTGCCTGATTGAATAGGTTGTATCTTACAGGGTGGTTCTACCCGCAAACAATTGATTTATACATATTGGTTTCTGTATTTTTGTAGACTGATTTTGTATTACATTCATTTCCACTCGTTGGTTGATATTTTGTGTCTTTTTGACGATAGACTCACTTTGGTTGGTGTATTCTGTTGGTTCTGTTCCCCTGGTTGTTTGATGTTGTTTGTATGTTGGTTCAAGTTTCATGTTCGTTGACCTCCCCGAAAAATTCTGCATCCGTAGAACTTCCCAGGCAGGCTTTGAACATCTTCCAGTCTGTCATGTCCAGCGTCCAGCGCAGCATTGTCAGCTATTCGGCCCTGCTGAATGCGTTTGAAACGGCCTCAACGTGGAAGAAAAGTCAAGACGTCTTTGTGAGTTTGTTGCTTGGCTGCAATAAGAGTTCCAATGAACATGGAACATATACCCAATAATGCGATATATTGTAATCAGATAAACACCATATTAGCCAGAATTCTTCCAACCCACCATAGGTGAACTGTAGTCACAGGGGGAAAAATAAGGAACTTTACCTCGTTATCTGCTCAGTTTCCTCTTGTATCCAGGGTGTTGGGAGCAACCCCTATCGCATTCGTCGGTTGAGCCTGTGAATCTCAACACTCAACACGAAGGAAGACAGGCATTTGCAGCATGGGATGGAATGGGATATCTTCCAGTAAACAAACATAGCTATGGGAAAAGACCCATTTATAGATGATTTACCGTTTGACATGGTGATTTTCCATAGTTATATTTCACTATACCAGATGGTAGGTTTTCCATGTTCCGCCATAGTCATTTTATGATGTTATATTTATCAAGCGCTGAGAAGCGAGATCATAGCTGTTTGCAGCCAGCCAGTGGCTGTGCCCTCCAAGCAGCTGGCCTTTTTCCGAGGCACCAAAACCACATGAAGATGAACCTCATTTGCTGCAACATTGCAATGAGCGCCTGTGAAAGAGGATTCCATGGATGCCATCCATGCCGTCGTGCCAGAAATTGGCGGGTCAGCGGGTTTTAAAAATGACACCTTGTTGGGTCATATTGACCATATCTATCTCTATCATTTCTCTATCTATATATGATATAGATATATTAATATGAGTCTGAGGACTATAGAGATTGTGTTTTGTTCTTTTGATGTGGGACAGATTCTCGGTTTTATGTAATTATCGGATGCCCACCCTGAGCACCCACACTTGTTTTTCTTACCCTACACACAAACAATGTTCTTCTTGGTGGCGGCCCTCCTCAAGCAGCAACAGGTTTTTCTTTTTCTTTGGTGGCGGGTTCATTTTACCTTCACAAACCGGGAAACAAAAGGAAAGAAAAGAAAGAGAAGACAGAAAAAATGAAAATGATGAAAAGCAAGAAAAGAAAGAGACGAAGGAAAAGAACCAAATAAAGGACATAGTGGAAAAGGAATATGTGGCAGACAGCCAGAACCCTTGCTACCAGCAATTTTCACATTCATCGTCTTCTTGCTGGTTTGTGACCTAAAAATCAGAGGGATCAGAGGTCAGCAGAAAAGACAAAACAGAAAGCGAACACAGAAACGGAGCAGCGAGAAAGAAAAGAACAAAATAAGGAAAAGAGAATAGCAAGAAAGGAAAGGAAAGGGTTGTTTGGCAGGTAAGGCAAACCAGTTTTTGAGTGACATCTTGGGAGGGTCTTTCCAAAACAAGTCTTCAGTCTTTGGAATCGAAGGAAACCACCGTCATGGAAGTCGCTCACTGGGTTGGCACACTACTACAATTCAACTATGTATTTTACACTACACACCCATGTGCATACTAAATAAAGAATGCGTTCACTCAGAACTGATTGGTGCCACTTATTCCAATCAAAACAGTACAAAAGATCGGTTTGTTTGCCAGCAAAGCTGGCACTCCGTGTAGCTGGAATATTCTATTGATTTTGGATCATTTTTCATATTATCACATACAGCAAAATGTATTCGATAAACGTTTGTCAAACAATGTGAAAAACTATCACAAACCAACATGAATATACACACAACACACACACACGCACCCCTAACCGTTCCTAACCATGCCTCATCAGAGATAGTGCATCGAATATTCAGTTACAATATGTTGCAATGTGTTCGACACTCATTGACACCCACGGACGCACGACGCTCTACACAAACACAGCCTCTGCCCCTTACAAACGCATACAGTGCAATGGTAACACATGATATCAACAGAAACAGGAGCAAATTACTATGTTTTTTCTTCGGTTTGTGTGAATGTATGTTTGATTGATGCTTGATCCACAAGATATTGTTCGGAAATAGATTTACCCATGGGGACACCAACAGATAGAATAGTCCAATATCAATCATAAGATAAATTAATACAGAAACTATGATCAATTTGAATCAAATCTAAATTTTCCAGAAAATCACTGACACGTTTAGATTGGAAAGCACACGGTTTAACAGATTGTACATTTTTTACTGCAGAAAACACGGAAAAAAATTGTCTATCTGCGAGTTCTACTGCAAACGTGTTTTGTGTTATGTTTACATTTTTTTACTATATTTAACTTACCGGAAAATGTCATTGATTTTATTCTATGTGCTATATCTAATATTTATTATTGTATATACATTTCTTTTTTTATTCACGCTGCAAGATAGATAACAGATTTGAGTAACCGACAAAATTAGCGGAAGACTAAAGTAGTGGGGAGTACACATGGGATGTGCAAATTTGTGCGAAAACATTCACAACCGATAGGGGACCACCCACTTAGCGATACCCTATGTTTACACATAGCATGGAAGTACAAATCTTCACAACCGATAGGGGACCACCCACTTTGGCCATATCCATTGCGGGTTGTAAGTAATTTTGCCCGCCACTCATATATATATATATACATATTGACTGGTTGGTGGTTTGGAACATTTTTGTTTTTTCCATAATATATGGGATAATCCTTCCCATTGACTTTCATATTTTTCAGAGGGGTAGGTCAACCACCAAGCAGTTGATGTTGATAGATCAGAAGCCAATGTGTCAAAACAACATTAATATATATATATATACATATTATATATATATATATATACATATTATATATATATACATATTATATATATACATATTATATATATATATACATATTATATATATACATATTATATATATACATATTATATATATATACATTTTATATATATACATATTATATATATACATATTATAGATATATATACATATTATATATATATATATATACATATTATATATATATACATATTATATATATATATACATATTATATATATACATATTATATTTATATATATATTTACATATTATATATATATACATATTATATATATACATATTATATTTATATATATATTTACATATTATATATATATACATATATATATTTACATATTATATATATATACAAAATATATATATATTGTGTATATACACATTATATATATACATATTATATTTATATATACATATTATATATATACATAGTTTATATATATACATATTTTATATTTATATATATGTATACATATTATATATATACATATTATATATATACATATTATATATATATACAAAACATATATATATATACATATTTTATATATATACATATTATATATATATGTATACATATTATATATATACATATTATATATATATATACATATTATATATATATATACATATTATATATATATATGTATACATATTATATATATATGTATAGATATTATATATATATACATATTATATATATATATATACATATTATATATATACATATATATATATACATATATATATATACATATTATATATATACATATTATATATATACATATTTTATTTATATTTATATATACATATTTTTTATATACATATATATATATATTTACATATTATATATATACAATATATATATATATATACATATTATATATATACATATTATATATATACATATTATATATATACACATATTTTTTATATACATATTATATATATATATACATATTTTATATATACATATTATATATATATACATATTATATATATATACATATTATATATATACATATTATATATATACATATATATATTTACATATTATATATATATACATATTATATATATATACATATTATATATATACATATTATATATATACATATTATATATACATTATATTTATATTTACATATATTATATATATATACATATTATATATATATATACATATTATATATATACATATTATATATATACATATTATATATATACATATTATATATATACATATTATATATATATATATTGTTGTTGTTCATGACCTGCTCCTTGTTCTGGTTTTCCGTTCAGGAGACCAGTGGAAAGCAGCGCTGCTGCACCTGGACTCTTTGGACAAAGCGCAGCTGGAGGGGAACGTCATCACCGAAGGGTCGGTCCTAGCCTCAGGTGGCCAATGTTGGTCTTAATGGATACCCAAAATGGATGGTTTATAACGGAAAATCCCAAACAAACATGGATGATGACTGGGGGTACCCCAATTTTAGGAAACCCCCATATCTGTATCATACTAGATTACTACAATGTGAGGCCCCCAAACGTTATAAGTTGGTTTATAACCCCATCCAACTAAGGTTTGAACTACCATAAACCCTAGTGAAATTGTAGTTATACACCAACTTAGCTATCGAAGGGGGCCCCACATTGTATCATTTGTAGGGAACGTTAAGACCGTTTATCTCACTAAACTAAATAAGTACCCTGGATCGGAGGGGTTTAGATCGGAAACAAATCTCTAACCATCAGTAAGATGATAAACACGAACAAAACCGAAGAAAAATGATATAATATGAAAAAAACATGGAAAAAATTGAAAAAGCGAAGAAAATTGTTGTTTATCGTCTGAAACCATATGCACATGGCCATCGTCATAATCCACCAAACGTGTTATTTCTGGTGATTTTTGAGTTCATTAATCACATCTTTATACTTTTCGGTGTTGTGTGCATTTCTGGTAGGTACGTAACCTTAATAAATAATCTAAAATGTCTCTGTTTATACTTCCATCTTTTCCACCCGTTCCTGATATAAATAAAGTGTCTTGCCTGTCTTATATAATCCCGATGGGTTTCTGTATGCATTTGTCAATCCGTGTCTGTCTTCTGTTGCTTTTGTGTTGGCTATGTTCCTTTCTTCTTTATACAGTGTTGTATTTTGTCTGAATTGCTCATTAAGATTTCTTGCAAAGTTGTTCATCTTCTCATCTAAGTCTCTTTGTTTCTTGTCCGTGTCGTTCATCAACTCTTCTTTTCCTTGACGCATTAATTCTTCAAATGCTACTCTACCTATTCTTTTTGCGAATATATAATCTCATCTCTTCTCTTGTTAATACATGTTCTATTGCTTCACCTCCCATAATTCTCTGAACAACCTCTCTCCCAAACTGCCTTCCCACCTGTCTCAATGCATTAGTCATTGCTATTCTTGCAACTCCTGCTACAACTCCAATCATTTATTTTTATATTAATGTTTGATAAAAATCATTTCGAATAATAGATCTAATCATGAGTCATGAGTAATAGATAAACATATAAAACTATTTTTGTAGATAGTAAGTATCGCAATGCTCAATCAAAATTTTCGCCTGACTTTTCAGTGGAGTTAAACGAAAACTCAGAAACACAAGAGGAAACAAAACTCTATGTAACTGATATTTCTATTCCAGCGGTGTGGAAATCTACAGAGGTGGGTTTCTATGAATATATTAATATATTTATGTTGTGGTCTTCAATGGCGATACATTAGTCAAAATATTAGGGTATATTTAGGTAATATTATGGTAAACTGTGATTAAAACATGAAACAATCACAAGAAAGAAATCAAAATGAAAATAAAAAATCTCAAAAAATCTCAAAAAATCTCAAAAAAACTCAAAAAAGCTCAAAAAATCTCAAAAAATCTCAAAAAATCTCAAACTTGATGATAGCATGAAAAAATAGAGCTTAAAAAAACAAAAAAAATGTTTTTTTTGTGTTTTTTTAATGTTTTTTTGCTTATAGATTGCATATGTTTGTTGAACTCATTGCCGCAGTCATGTGTCTTTCAGGGTTTCGGTCTCATTTCCCCCGGTAATCGCCTTTGATTTTTTGAGATTTTTTGAGATTTTTTATTTTCATTTTGATTTCTTTCTTGTGATTGTTTCATGTTTTAATCACAGTTTACCATAATATTACCTAAATATACCCTAATATTTTGACTAATGTATCGCCATTGAAGACCACAACATAAATATATTCATAGAAACCCACCTCTGTAGATTTCCACACCGCTGGAATAGAAATATCAGTTACATAGAGTTTTGTTTCCTCTGGTGTTTCTGAGTTTTCGTTTAACTCCACTGAAAAGTCAGGCGAAGATTTTGATTGAGCATTGCGATACTTACTATCTACAAAAATAGTTTTATATGTTTATCTATTACTCATGACTCATGATTAGATCTATTATTAGAAATGATTTTTATCAAACATTAATATAAAAATAAATGATTGGAGTTGTAGCAGGAGTTGGAAGAATAGCAATGACTAATGCATTGAGACAGGTGGGAAGGCAGTTTGGGAGAGAGGTTGTTCAGAGAATTATGGGAGGTGAAGCAATAGAACATGTATTAACAAGAGAAGAGATGAGATTATATATTCGCAAAAAGAATAGGTAGAGTAGCATTTGAAGAATTAATGCGTCAAGGAAAAGAAGAGTTGATGAACGACACGGACAAGAAACAAAGAGACTTAGATGAGAAGATGAACAACTTTGCAAGAAATCTTAATGAGCAATTCAGACAAAATACAACACTGTATAAAGAAGAAAGGAACATAGCCAACACAAAAGCAACAGAAGACAGACACGGATTGACAAATGCATACAGAAACCCATCGGGATTATATAAGACAGGCAAGACACTTTATTTATATATCAGGAACGGGTGGAAAAGATGGAAGTATAAACAGAGACATTTTAGATTATTTATTAAGGTTACGTACCTACCAGAAATGCACACAACACCGAAAAGTATAAAGATGTGATTAATGAACTCAAAAATCACCAGAAATAACACGTTTGGTATCACATGTCCCTCAGATAATATATAATCCACCAATTTACCTGTATCCCAACCAAATAAAAAATGATATAAAATGATATAAAAATAAAAAAAATGATAAAAACATGCGTTTTAATGGGATAACATGCTTAAATATGTGAAAAAGTGCTTTTTAATGCGTTTTTAAGTTATTTTGAGTTTATTTATGCGCATGGGGGTTCACAAAGTCTTCTGATCTAAACCCAGCTGATCTAGGGTACTTATTTATTTTGGTGATTATCTGAGTGTAATGATGTGACCTTGTCTTATATCATCCATTTATTATATTATATTTAGATAGTAATCATGATATTGTCTATAGTTAATGGATAACAACCTCAGTGAATATAGATGAATATTTTATATGGACGCTACTTAATGGAGAATAAATCTTACAATTACAGTTGATGGCTTACATTGGAGCAACGGCTGCGTTCACCCCCCTGTTGGTTGATGATTACATTGGGGTGAAAAACCATGTTATACCCAATAGATTGTGAATTGTCATAATCCATGAACTGGCAAGTTCTACTGTTGTGCATACATAGTTATATATATATATGTATACATATATATATATACATATATATACATATATATATATAATGGTATATCTTTCTTATACATAATGTGATACTAACCAGCGAGTAATAACGGGACGACTTAGCTTGTTATTGCCACGATTGACCCTTTTCTTTGTAGGGCGGTAGGGGGGCTTTATGCATTTTTAAGTATCACATAGTAATGGATAAAATAGTGGTTTAAATATGGGAATATATTTTTAAGTATCACATAGTAATGATATGGGAATATAATTGATAAATAGTGGTTGATCGGTTATGAAATAGGGAAGACATGAGGAAAATGGGTGTTATTATAACTCCTAATAGGAATATTTACTCACCATGCAGTTGGTAAAATGGGATGGGATACTTAATGCTTCATGGTTTTGCACCTAATGACATACATGATGACCCTACGAAACAGGGAACTAACACAGTGAGCCTACCATGAGTTCGGGGTTGGAAGAAGACTTTCTTCTAACAACTTTTGGTTAGTTTGGGTCTATGTTAATTTGGGGGATGGTACGCATCATATTTATCCAGGTTTGACTTGTATAACACGTAATTGATATTGAGATAGTTGAATGTGTTTTTCATTGTTTTTTCTTATACAGTCAGTTTATAGCCTACAACTAACGTTGCCTCCCAGTTTCATTCTTCGGTGATGTTTTTGTGTGCACGAGCATGCATCGGATGACATAGATGGGTGAACACATGCAGTGGTCAAGAAATGGAGGTTTCCTGAAATGGGGGTACCCCCAAATCATCCATTCTAATGACGGATTTTCTACTATAAACCAACCATTTTGGGCATCCCCCATTGATGGAAACCCCCAAATAATGACCTAGACCATTCCGATGTTATTTTCACTTCATCCCATGTTGAAGATCTGAACGGCCTTCCCACATGGGATTAGTCCATCATCGCCATTCAACCAGAGAGTATAAGCCTGCTACCAACCATCAACAAAGCATCATATCTGAGGTCTGCGTTGCCAGTTATCGCAAATCCCATGTGGGTCCCCCAAGTTATGGCATTCTAAGAGGGAAAACTCAACGTTTTCAACCATTGGAGTTTGGAAGCCCTACGTTTTTTAGGCATACCCATGTCTGGTGATAACACCTGAGTTTTTCCACCATCCAGCACAGTAGCTCCAGGTTTTGAGCACCGAAATGGGATGGCCTTTAGCCATGCAATGTTTCGAAACCATGCAGCTGAGGCGTTGGAAATGGGGGGTCGCTTGACCTAAGATTTCCCGCATGTACGCCCAAAAAGGGTACTTATACACTTTCATACGGTTTTTAAATGGTTTCTGTAGGGTTTTTTCCTAGGGTTGTTCTATTTCTTTTTGGGGTTTATGTATATATATATATAAAAAGTGCCGAAAACAGAGTTTGCCAGACAGCCGATTCCCCGCAGAGGCTCATCAAACACGTTTTTGGGCTTGCAAAGCCAGGGACATCAGGTTAGGACATCCCAACATAGAGGAAGGCCACAAAGTACTGTCAAGGTCACCCAAAATGAGGTTCCCGACCATCATCCCCAAATGGGGCATAGCACAAGTGGCCTCAAGATGAATGATTTGCAAGTTTCAACAATTACCATACCTGGTTGGTGGTTTGGAACATGAATTTTATGTTTCCATATAATGATTGGGAATAAATGGGAATGTCATCATCCCAACTGACGAACTCCATCATTTTTCAGAGGGGTAGGTATACCATGGTATACCAACCAGATACTGTAAAGCCAAGTTCCAAAGGCTTTCCTGAAATCTGGGGATGAAAAAAATGATCAATGGGACGAACACTGAGACGTAGACTCTCTGAAAAATTGGTTATACCACCTAAACAGCTATGTGAATATGGGAAATGATGATTCACGAGCGGATTTTGAATGATGTTGATGGATTTTGGGGTTTTTCCCCTAAATTGTCAGACAAACGCAATATGGAATTCCTTGTTTGACATGGGACGTAGCAGTTTTGGGGGTTCCTCTTCTACCTCCGTCCACGCAGCTTATGTTCATCACCGCATCACCTTTTTCGGGATGCACATTTTTGCTGAAGGAGATGGAAATGGCCATGTGATGGCCCATTGCCCATTCGGAATACTAGGGATAGATGGATATTTAGGTTGGCTAGGGATAGATGCTGCGATGGAAATCTTGGACACCTATCTTGAAGTTCCCCTCATCCTACAAGCATGCCCTCCCGTTTTATTTGTTCATAACCCCCATCAAGTTCCATCTACAATAACCTACATATTTTTCAACCAACTCTTCCGCCATTCCGAAGCATGGCACCATCAACATTCCGGCCCGCCAGGCATGGTGCTACTCGAATTTCTCCTGCGAGTTTTGAAGCAGTGCTCGGAGCCTGCAACGGCCAGCACCAGGTCATTTGTCGCCTGTTGCTCCGCCTCCGACGACTCTCTTTGCGTCAGCTGAAGTCGCAAAAAAAAAAACGTGGGGCCTCCTAGTTATAAGTTGGTTTGTAAACCCATCTAACTATGGTTTGAACTACCATAAACCCTAGTCATTGTAGTTATAAACCAACTTAGCTATCGAACGGAGGCCCCACATTTGGGTCATGGATGTGACATGTTGGGACGACGAATATCTAAGCAGATCTCAACGTGCGATTGTGTTTGTGATTTGCTGCTAGATTTGTCTCAGAACGGCTTGAAGATAGTGCGATCTAATTTCTGTGTTGTTGGTCAAGTGACTTGATGTTTCAATCTCAACAACAGATCAAGGGATCAAGGTTTGTCTACAATGATTCAGTGATGACATTCTGGTTGCTACACCAGAACTTCTAGATGACGTCCCCACAAAATGCTGATTTTGCATAGTCTCTCTTATAGGTTCCAACACCATGAATTCAAGACGCATCACCCTGGGATTCTAACCCCAAAGTCCTCATCGACCATCGGTTCGGGATTCATCTTTGCATTTGTTGGATGATGGATCCGGATCAGAAGGGCCCCAGGTAACGTTGATGAATCGTTCCTGGTTTTACCATGTTTTACCCAATAACGATTGGATTTATGGTACCTTTTTTTTTTTACCGAACTTTTTTTTTACCCGAAAAAGGATCCGAAACAGGTCAGGATCACCTCCACCAACTCCGCCCTGCGACGCCGCTTCCGCTTCCGCCATGGCAGCCTTCGATGCCTGCGCCTGCGTGGCAAAGCTCCTGGTCAAGGCGGCGCGCGGCCAGCGTGCGGAGTCCCATCATCCAAAGATACGGGGAAATCCACTGGAAATTATCATGGCAATTGGAATTCATGGGATATTTCTGATTTTTACATTTTTACATGATGTAAATTTATGATTTTATATAAATATTTACATGGACATAGTGATTTTATGGCATTATTAAATGGGATAAGCAATGGGATATCAAAAAAAAAACACATTTGGATCATCTATTCATCCCCGGGAAAAGCTGGCTCCATCAGGTTTCTGGATTGAGCGTAGCCATGCATTTTGATTTGATGGATGGGCCTCGGTTTGCCATATATGAACATAGCCATCACACGTATTGCCTAAGTATTGCCTAAGATCTAAGTAAACTTTTAGCAGGGGAGCGGTTTGCTCATTGTCATTCTTCATTTTCGCAGATGACCACATCCAAATTGTTCCATCGAAACACATGGGCCAGTTGGGGGATGATTTCACCCTCACGAATCGCTCCGTTGGATGACCTGCAGGCTATCAACCCTTCGATCTCGTCCAGATGTGGTGGAGCAGAACTCTATCATCAGCGTGTCTTGGCCAAGACAGATGTTCATCCATTGTTGAAGGATGACCAGATGATGGCAATTTGGACTTGGTGACATAGGTTCTCCGTCACCGCAATGATGGTAAGCCAGATCATGTCCAGAATTCAGGTAGCCTCTGGTGATTTCAGCTAGCTATTAAACATGATAATGTATATGTCATTTGACTATCAAACATCTGGATAAATCATGTGGATAAATGGACATAGCTATCAAACATAGTGATTGTCCATAGCTATGTCAATGGAAATCCAGATGGCTATGGATCAAAGCGTAAGACACACAGGAGATCACCTTTGTTGGGTGCCCACTCTTGACATAAAAACGAGTTGGGGTATCATTCTATATATATATACATTACGGGATAACAAAATCATGAGATTATTAATTATGCCAATAATATATAATGTTGTTGATATATCTCATATATGTATAGAGTTATTAGGCTATCAGGGTATACTGTGAGGCCACATTTTGTCGTTCCTCTGCCAGGCTCAAGGACGATGGAGTCGCTGGGAAGATGCTCTGCAGAGCTTCACTCAGCGTCGCGATGCCACAGTGGTCACTTACAACGCGCTGCAGAGCGCCGCACGACGAGGTGAGGGGCCGGAAGATGCAAAAAGTGAAGCACAGGGGTTACCCTCTGGTAAACTAACAAAAAGCTATTGAAAATGGCCATAGAAATAGTGGATTTTCCCATTAAACATGGTGATTATAGTGAATTTTCCCATTAAACATGGTGATTATAGTGGATTTTCCCATTAAACATGGTGATTATAGTGGATTTTCCCATTAAACATGGTGATTTTCCATAGCTATGTTAAATTACCAGAGGGTATGACTTGGGCCCCCTAGGGTTTTATGGGGATAAACCTACTATGCCCAGTCATGGTAGGTTTATGGCATTGGACTTAGGGGTACCCACTCAGCACTCAGAAACCCATATGTAGTTATATGACGTCATTGGGATATGTGTGGTAAAAAAGCGGGATATAGTTGGCGCATCCTTGAGATATATGTGGGCATATCATTGGGTATACTCATCCCGGTACCCAAATATAAAAAGGGGCTATGATGAATCATCCCACATATGGGTATACCTGGTTGGTGGTTTGGAACATTTTCTATTTTTCCATTCAGTTGGGAATGTCATCATCCCAACTGACTTTCACTCCATCATTTTTCAGAGGGGTGGCTCAACCACCAACCAGATTATTATTAACCATCATTAACCATCATTAACCATCATTAACCATTAATATTAACCATTAATGTATACGAAAAGTTGGGGAGCACCAGACCATTAAAAAAAATGGGTGGAGCAACGGGATCCGGAATAGTCCACAAGTCCCCAAAAAAAAATCGTTAGCCATACCAGGATCGTCCATATATGATACTAATAGTTATACCTATAGTCCCTACAATTGTTAATATACATGTTTGTTGGGGATTACTGTATATAAATGTCGGCAAACAAAATGCACAGTAGCTAAATGTAAGTACCACATACTGTAGGATCACTTGAGATGCTGCCCGACTGCCCCAATGTCAGGTAATCAGTGGACGCGGGCACTGCAGAGTCTCGGAACCAAAGGTTGGTCACCAAAGCAGTGCCATGATCAAAAGCTGGATTGACCCATGGTCATCAACCCATAAATAGCTGGTTGGTGGTTTGGAACATGAATTTTATTTTCCATAATATATGGGATGTCATCCTTCCCGTTGACGAACTCATATTTTTCAAGATGGTTATTGCACCACCAACCAGACTCATATGGACTCCCGGTATGGGATGGATGACCGTAGACCGTATACCAGATTTTGACTTTTGCACATCTATAACATACATACATAATATATATATATATATATTATGTATATATATATATATATTATGAATATATATATATATATATTATGTATATAAATTTAAATATATGTATGTATATATATATATATATAATTAGATAATGTTAGTATAGTCATAAGCCATAACATATAGAGGATCGCAAACATCGCCACGAATCGGAGACTTTGGGATCACAAAACAGTGACACGAGACGCAGCTTGATCCCCCAAGCAGTAGGCTTTAGCTATCGGCGGTAGACAGTCATTCCAATAACGATTTTTTCGTTGGTGTGGTGATGATAGCTTATTTTTATAACCACTAGAAGTTCAACCGGCTTAGCGAAACTGAGAAGCAAACAATTTGTAGGTCATTGTAGGCGTGAAGCTGATGCTCAAGTCAGATTGCTTGTTTTGTGAGTAAAAACATTCGTGTCCAACAAGTTTGGAAACTCAAATCCAGCAAAAGACCAATCAATAACCAGTTCTGCTGAAGTTTGGAACTCAAGAGGTGCATGGTGAGGGAAAAGAACAGCTTTCCTGAACCAAGGCTGGGTAGAGACTACTAAAAAGATTATCATTTTTCCAGCTGATTTCATGATATGTCTTGCATGGTGCCCCCAAGTTATGTGTGTTCGATATATCTACCGTATTCTACCGTACTTCAAGTTAGTTAAGTTACTTGTTTCAACAAACTTAGGTATTAATACTATTGGAGATTTTCCGTTTCAATCTCCATTGATACCATCTGGTTATGACTAACAGTTTGCCATGGAAAGATCCACCCATTTTATAGTTCGGTAAACCATCTATTTCGATTAGGGCCATCTATACCATGGCTATGTTAGTCATAACCAGAGGGTAGATGTCATTTTCTCTCGGGGATTTCTCAGCGCTTTCTGTAAGGATCTTGGACCAGGCCTTGGCGTCGGTCAAAGTCGACCTGCTCACGTGGACGTCCATCATCGACTTGAAAGGCGCTGCAAAGATAGAACTGCTATTTATAGTGGATTTTCCCATGAAAAATGGTGATTTTCCATTGCTATGTTAGTTTACCAGAGGGTAAGCCCTGTGAAAATCTGAGATGGTTTTTGTTGGGCGAAAATTCCTTTGTTTTTTTTGGCGTATCTTCTAAAGATGATGAGTACTTGGGCTGCATAAAAAGGCATTTAGATTTCAGGTGGGTACAGGCATTTAAACAATTTTAAAACCCTCATTTTCAGTGGCAAGATAATTGTTCAAACCATTTTGGGTAAGAGAGACTTGCTGGGCCACACTTGCGAGGATACGGCAGGGGCTTGAAATTGACCCTAGCAGCAACAGTGGTGGTGAGTGAATCTTAACCAAAACCATCATGAGGTTCTAGGGCTGGGCTAGACCATGCTAGCTCAATAGTCCGAAGCCATTAACCAATCAACTAATGAATCCCATTGTGGCAATTCAAAACCCATATGTATAGAATTATATAATTCTAATTCTATATGTCTACACTTACTGTAGTTATATAATGTTATATACTTGTTTATGTTGATCCACTGGACACCCACTCTGTATAACCAGAAAAAGCCACCGCACCCTCCATGGCCGCCACGGCAGAACAGCGATGGCATGCAGCTCTGGCATCTTTGGCGGAGATCCGTCGCTCAGACTTACGCCACTCGGCGATCCGTTCGGTTTGCCAAGGCCCACGAAAAATCACTGGTTGGTGGTGACTGGATCCCATATATGAGTTCCAGTCACCACCAATATGAATTTTATATGGGGTTGGGATTATCCCATAAAATATACGAATTTTATGACTTCCATTTCATATATGGGATGTCATCCCAACCCCATTGACGAACTCCATCATTTTTCAGAGGGGTAGGTCAACCAGATAAGGTTGGGATGGAAAGGGGAAAAAAATCACGTCCAAACAATTGCATGTGTTTTTTTCAGAATATGATGATTCATGAATGGATACGGCATAGAACCCTGGGTAGTTTCATGTTTGAAAAGGAACTTAAATTGAACTGGGAGGACGTTGGTGATGTTTCTACTAACCAGCTAATTTTTTGTGTGATATGATTGAACTATATTGAACTGGTGATAGTGAAATAATCGGGCAGTTGCCACAATGGGGATGTTCCAACGTCAACATTATGGAGATCTCAGCAACAGTTCACTCGGTCACTGCTGGGTTTATATATATATATATATACATGCATATATATATATATAAACTACAGTTAATGGATGTTAATGGATGTTAATGGGTTTATAAACCAACAAACATCACAGGGTCTCACCTTGTATTTGTTCAATGGTTTTCAACATGTTTACACATGATGTAGCCCGGAAATGATGCTTGGTCGATGCCCGGTGGACGGTTCCCCAGAATCGCCAGAATCCACTGGAATTGAGGGTAAGTTCTGGTAGAAAGCCACTGATCTGGGAATACCCTCTGGTAAACTAACATAGCTATTGAAAATGGCATTTATACTGGATTTTCCCATTGAAAATGGTGATTTTCCATAGTTATGTTAAATTACCAGAGGGTAATCCATCTATCACTGGGTGGATTTCATGGTTATTTCATGGTTCTTGGCCTTTTTTCACGGTTCCACACGGGTCCCTCACCGCGCTCAAACTGACCCAAGGTCTCGACAGCATCTCACAGTCTGCTGCACTGACTGCAATGGGGAGCCGCTGGAAGAAGACTTGGGCGCTCTATGATGAGATGAGCATCAAGCACTTGGAGCAGGACACGGAGATAGTGGACACAGATATACCAATATTGCAGGTAAATGATAGGCAAATGATGTGGGGGAAATTGAATGGTAGTACATGTTAGTACTATTCAGGACTCGTACCACAGTTTTTCTCCAAGGCTATACAACTTAGTACGAACACGTGGTATCTGGGTGTTGGGAGGAACTCTGACCCAACAGTCACTCGGGCCGCCAAAGATCTAAGCACACACAAACAGGGAAAATGTAGTCTTTACACCCTGACACAGTGTTCATCTTCCACTATTTAGGGACAAAGATCATTATATCCATTAAAGACATCCATGATTTTCCATGAATTCACAGTTTGAATGGCTCCAAATGACATCATCTTCACAATATCAATTACATGTAAATGCCCCAGAAAAGCACACCCACGTTTTTTTTGGAGCCCAAGGCTCATGGTACTGGAATGTGTTATTACTAGAAGGTAAATCCTTTCATGTCTGATTAATTCTAATTATATAGTATTAAAAAAAAAAAACTCCAATAACATCCCATTCAAATTCATATTCCATGAAATCGCTATAACATCCATAGAATTGGATGATGAGAAAATTTTAACCGGAAACCCCTATGTATATTTGATGGCAAAACCCATGGGTTTCCGGTTCCGATTTTCCCAAGAAAACAAATCCATTGAAACATGCTATACCCTCTGGTTATGACTAACATAGCCATGGTATAGATGGCCCATAAAAATAGATGGTTTACCTATTAAACATGGTGATTTTCCATGGCTATGTTAAATAACCAGATGGTAACATCCCATTAAATACTGGTTTTGGTTCCCATTTTTTCTGTGAAAACATCACCCCAATTCACCTCCAGTCCACAAGGATCTTTTGTGTCACCTACCGTTGCTGCAGCGCTGGCCCCAAGCCCTGGAGCTGCAGATCTTGCGAAAGGAAGCAGTTGATGAGCATTCCAAAACGGTTCCTGGGTGGTTTTGAGCCATTTTTTGCTGGTGAAAAGATGTTAAAAGTAAATGATGTACCTAGAAAAACACTGGTTAAAAAAAATGGTTGCAGTAGGTTACATTTTGCTTGTGCAAAGTTTGGGATGTCTAGTCGAAGATCAATCTATTTAATTACCTTCGGCAAACCCGCCGGCCATAGAAAGGTGGCCCCAAGGGAGTTTGATGTGCACTCTAGGTGGAAGCCCGCGACAGAAGCAGAAGAGAAAAGAAGGGAAGAAGAAGACAAAGCCGTAACAACCTATTGATCGTATACCAAATTAGTACCGTCCCCAGCAAAGTAGCGCCAGGTACTATGTATGAGCCTCTGGCTTGACAGCAGACCGTTGCATGGAAGGAGACAGGGTGGAAGCGGAGAGATATTGCCCCAACAAAAGTTGATGTGCACCTAGGTGGAAGCCTGAGAGAGAAGCAGAAGAGAAGAGAATAAGAAGAGGAAGAAGAGGAAGAAGAAGAGACGAAGACAGAGATCAGCAGCAGCTTGAGTAGCAAGTGCCTGCTTGAACAACCTATGGACCGCATCCCAGATGAGTACTGGTCGATCAGTTTAGTACCCTGTGCATCCTGTGACGAGTACCTGTAGACGACTGTAATGCTGTAGGCAGTGTCATTAGCTACCGGCACTACCAGTTTAGTATTTCGGGAAGAAGAAAGGAAAGAGTAGAGGAGTAGAAGTAGGAGTAGGAGTAGGTGTCGGAGTAGGGGTAGGAGTAGGCGTAGGCGAAGGAGTAGTAGTGATAGCAGTAGTAGTAGTAGTAGTAGCAGCAGCAGCAGCAGGAGCAGTAGGAGCAGTAGCAGTGGGGGGGAGGGGGGGTGGACTTGATTCAGACGAAGCAAAAACGCGCAGCAAGAGAACCAAGGAACAAGCACAAGCCAAGAACAGAAACAAGTACAACACCTTCCAATCAGACACGCCGGCACGCCGGCGAATTTGAATTGAGCTGCCCATCTGTTGAAGTCTTTTGACTGTATCTAGCTATTAGCTATGTGTATTTTTTTTGTACTATGGTACAAATTCCACAAGGGAAGATAAGGCCTAATAATAGCTTTTGGTAATCAAAGATGGCGATAGAAAACGATAGAAACTCCCCCAAGTGGCATAGATAAATGATGACAAATGTCCCATTAGCAACTTCATTCATTCCGAATGTCCCAGCTGTTTCTTGACCTTTTTCCCAGGTGTTACTTGGTGCAACCATCTCTTCTTGTGCGCAAGGTGCCTTGTCCACCGAGGGGATCATTGCGATAAACCACTCAGGGTACTTATCAACCACCCAGCGCATTACTCAAGTCTTTGTTGAATGGGAGAATTGTGCTCAAAGCAAACCAATGATCAAAGTGAAAATATAGTCTTTGCATGTCTCTGCACTATTTGTGGCTCATTGAATAACTTGTTTGGAATGGGACAAGATCATGGGTCACTAAATTTTGGTGTCTCCATCCACCATCCACTAGTGCCTGGGGTGAAATTTTATTTATATATCCCTTTTGCTGCTGGAGGGATTTTGTTCGGTAAGTTGCATCCCCAAATTTATTGGTTAAATCATGTTAAATCCATCTTATTTTGGCTAAATTTTCCTTTTGCCCGTAGTTTCCACACTGCAAACATTTTGACTGGTTGCCCTCCGGAGCCCTCTACTACTCATCGAATTCTTTGGTGAAATTTCCAGCATGCCAGCTTAGAAATGGTGAGATTACCAGAAAAGACAAAAATTATTTGGGAACAAATGACAAAGTCGTGTGCCCAAAACCCACTGTAAATCAAGAAACCCAGTACCCTTTACTTTATTTTACCAAAATACCACATTTTATGATATATTTCGTGATATTTTACGTAGTGACAATGCACTACCCATGCAACCACGATCCATACGTTTCCTTTGTATCATCAACTACCATAGATAAGTAACATAAACATCATAATCAAAAATGGGTCCATTGTAAATAATTGGCAAATATTCAGCTTAGTGTCTTGTTTCGTTTCAAAAACGTATAGCAACCCCAAAACAGATATAGCAAAATCAATTCCAATCCTTTTCTAGTGTTGCGATTTTTGTTGTCAATAATTTGTTCTGCGGAAACCTTGGATGGCTAGTTTGGTACTTTCATTGCTGGCCATCTGAATTGGAATGTTTGTATAAATTATACAAAACATCAAACATGCGGGGTATGTAATTCTTCACCCAATTTGGTAAGTGGGCTACAATCCCAGTTTTGTTAACAGGGGAAAGGGTTAGTCACTTAGTCCACTGCTGGGGTGAAGTAACCCACACCATTCCTGGGGTGAAGCAACAAGTAGTTGCCTGCAAGAACTAGTTTAAAACTGTGGTTTATAACAATATCATAGATATATCTCTAGTTACACCGGCTTAACAGTTATAAATCAACACAAATTACTAAGATTACATGAATCATCAGTTTTCTCATATGTTCAAGTATTAACCTGGTTGGTGGTTCAAACATTTGTTCTTATCCATAGTATATGGGATAATCCTTCCCAACTGACTTTCATATGTTTCAGAGGGGTAGGTTGAAACCACCAGCCAGTTTAGTTTTCAACTCTATAAGATTACATAAGATGACTATATGAATCATCAGTTTTCTCATATGTTCAAGTATTAAATGTATGGGTATGGGTCAATACCTATAGATACATTTTTAGTGGGATGAACATCCATAAATCCCAGCTATTTTGGGGTTCACCAGGGGTACAAGGTTTTGACACACTACCATATGTTCAAGTATTAAATGTATTACCCTCTGGTTATTTAACATAGCCATGGAAAATCCCCATTTTTAATAGGTAAACCAATCTATAAATGGGTCATTTTCCATGCTTATGTTAAATAACCAGAGGGTAATCATCAGTTCTTCATCAGTTCTCCCCTTTCCCGGGGCCCAAAAATGGCCGCCGGCCCCGCTCAGGCCACCGTTGGATCGTCTCACTGCAGCTCCTGCGGTCGGAGCGCCTGGAGCGCCTCTCGGTGGTCGCGGCCAATGCGGCCATCAAGGCCTGTGAAAAAGGCCAGGGTCGGTGACTTTTCATGGGAAATCTTGGGAAAATGTTGGGAAATGTTGGGAAATGTTAAATGGTTCAGTAGTTTTAGGATGTTTTTTCCGGACGTGTCACTAATAGACTTTTTCCATTAAATTCAGATAAATTCAGGTTGATTTGAGTTTGTTTAGGTTAATTTTAAGATCATTTGTTCTCAATCATCATCTCCCAACCATGATTTATCAATTGTATCATCTTTTACAGGTGAAAACCGTCAAAAGTTGAATGATTTTCCACAGCTTCTGGCGATGGTCCCGCATTTTCATACGTGGTAGCCCCGTATGCTTGGAATCTCCGATGACGATGATGAGATGACCATATACCCATATATATATAGAATATATCATGTTCTGCCAACATACCCCATATATATATACATATATGGAATATATTCTGCCATACCCCATGTGTGTATATATAATTAGAATCCATATATTATGTTTTGGCCATGGCGGAACACATACCTGTTTGATGACGAAGCTGGGAAAACTTTCGCAAAAACATCCGGAAGTTGGAAAATCCCGATGGATCCCAAGGGTTTTTATGGTTGAATTAGGCTTGTTATAACGAAAACATGCGGGTCTTGTTGATCGTCCTAAATGAGGAAGGGGATTGAATGGGATGATATGGGTAAGTATTCGGAAAAAACATATATTTATGCCTTATATGCAGATATCTTACCAAAACATCATTGAACATGTGGATATGTGGGGGATATTTAAATCATTTTAAATCATTCTAATCGTGAATGAAAAGATCGGATTTCATTGGTCCACATTGCTATGTGTTGCTTGAATGGAGCTGGGGAATCATCTCCGAAAGCCCCAAGAGGCTTGAAGACTTCCCAGAATGGAGATGAATGGAGCATACCCTCTGGTAATTTAACATAGCTATTGAAAATGACCCATAGAAATAGTTGATTTACCCATTGAAAATTGCCATGTTCAATAGCTATGTTTGTTTACCAGAGGGTATGTGCTGCATAAAAACATACCAAAACCATAGGCTTCTTGCTGATTTTGATGGGAAACGCCATAGGTTTCCGAAGCAAATTTTCCGCTAGGGGACGCCTGGACCTGGGGCTTGCAGCTGCTCCAGGACTCTGGGTGAACTGTTGGGTTGATGGTTTGTGGGGGATATAACATGATATTTCACCAACTTGTTATATACCCTCTGGTAATTTAGCATAACTATGGAAAAACACCATGTTTAATGGGAAAATCCACTATTTCTATGGCCATGGCTTCAATAGCAAACTGTAAACGTTTACCAGGCCGGGTAACCAACTTGAGGCTTCACCCAGTGATACCTGGGGGCCTCAGAATCCACTGAGGTGGTGCTGATTGGCCAACGGTGGTTCTATCGGTACCATGAGTTAGACAAGGTGCTTAGATCCGATCTGCCATAAATCCTACTTAACCATCATAAATCCTACTTAACCATACTTAAGAGATAAAAAAAGAACAACTTGGCTATAGGTCTCCACCAGTTACCTTATCTTACTGGTGCGTTTTACGCAGGGAATTTTCGGGAATGATCCAATCCATCACTAGTAATAATATGTAATAATCATCCCAGCAACCCGCAGCAACCCATCCATTCCCTACGTAAAACGCACCAGTAAGTTATAGCTGCATCTATTGCGTTTTCCCGGCAGGATTTCAACGTGTGGCACTTGGTGCCCGATGCCATCAGCTTCAATTCGGCCTCAACGTCAGGCAGGACATTAGTGGTTTTTCAGGAAAGCTTGGGCGCGAAAACAACGAGAATGGCCCAGTTAAACATAGTTAAACCACTTAAATCTTGTGGTTGATGATCATTTTAGTCAAATGAGTGGTTTAACATGGTTTGACTGGGCCATTTGCATACTGGATGATCATTACACAGTTCAGTGAAATGACCTGTTGATGAAAGTGTTTGCGACTGGAAAGCCGAAGTTGGAATCGGCGAGGGGGGAAAGATTTCTTGGGCTGGAAAACTAGTGTGCTTTGATCAGAAAAATGGTGTTTGTTGTCCAAAAGTCTTTCAAAAAACAAACATTGTCTAAGTATATGTATATGAAATTATATAGTTTATAGTAGTATAATAGTCCTTTGTATATCACTTGTCGTTTTTTTTCATTTTTTAATCTTTACAAAAAAACTAACCATGGCAGCAGAGTTTCACGTTTTTTGCTCCAACAAACGTAGCCGAACTCAGCAGCCGTCGTCCAGGTGCCTGGCGAAAAAGCTGCGAGCTGCAGCAGCAGATGCTGCAGCAGGGCCTGCGGAGCAACCAGTTTCTGCGGATGATAGACCCGGTTTTAGGATGTGTTCAGATGAGGATCATTAAACATATACATTCCAGCATATTCCAACCATTTTTCGCCAAACAACCGAAGGTGAAGATGTTTTAAGGTCACCAAAAAACGACCCAAGTTAGTTTATTAAGTGTTTTATAATTCCAATGAATCAATACCAGTATATTGCCTTATTCATAAGATTAAACCATTTTTATTATTACCGGTTGATTGGTTGATTGGTTGAATATGATGTCACGTTTTCATCTGTTGGGAGTCAAAGTTACTAGGGCCCAAGGGGATGATCCCTGAATGATTTCTGGGCCTACGCCACATGTGTGGCCTTGGTTGGAGAACGCGTTCAGTTGGTGCGTTTTTGTCACTACAATAACTGTAACTGTTGGGTTTATGGTAGTTATAACATGTTATAACCATAGTAATAACTAGGGTTTATGATAGTTATAACTTATAATGATAGTTAGATGAGGTTATTGGCACCAACAAACATAACGTAGAAGGAACCCCCCACATTGTAGGAGTTCATGGGGGTGAAATAACTATAAGTTTGACTTGCTAGGAATCCAAAATGATACTTGAATGATTTGACTTACTGACTTACTGGTTGGTGGTTTGGAACATGTTTTATTGTCCATAATATATGGGATAATCCCAACCCCATTGACGAACTCATATTTTTCAGAGCGGTAGGTCAACCACCAACCAGTAGTACATTGGCTTGTACTTGGCTAGTCACCAGAACTGATTCTGCCAACTTACAGCCTCACTGTCGATCGTCTCCCAGATGATCAGTTGCAGGAAAGCACTGTATTTGATGGTTACGCTTTGGTAAACTAACAGTTTGCTATGGAAAATGGATGAAACATGGCCCATTCATAGTTGATTTACATTGTTTCCCGTATTAAGATGATGATTTCCCACAGCTATGTTAGTTTACCAGATGATAGTACGGGGAATCATCCCTAAATGGCCGAACTCTTCAGCTATCTTCGGGTTAATTATAGTTATTGGAATTCAGCCAGATTTTGTGGGGAAAAAGACCTGGATGTTTGGTTTCGACTGTCCCTGGAATCCACTGATAGTGCTAGGGACCGATGTTCAGCTACTAACCGGTTGCTGGGTCATTTAGATTGGCCTCGCACAATCCGCCAAGAATCTGAGCAACTTCACTGACCAAATCTGTTTGAGTTACCATCTGGTTATTTGACATAGCCATGGAAAATCACCATTCTATTAATAGGTAAACCCAGTTGTTCACCATCTATTTTCATGGGCCATCTATACCATGGCTATGTTAGTCACAACCAGGCTGGGTAAATTTCTTCACCAAATATGTTTAATCGATTGAATCACCGACCTTTTGTTGGTTAAGTCGTCCCTATGTTTAAGATGCTCAAATCCCACTTTTTTTTGTTGGTTCAATCACCAATGGTTTGTTACTGCGACTATACAGAACTATTTTGGCATGATTTCATTTCTGCACTGGTGAAATTTCATATATTTTGTTGGTCAAATCCCAATTTTTCCAGGTTTTCCCTGGTTTCAGATCCCGAGGTTCACGGAGAGCACGTTGCTCCACACCCTTTCGACCAAAGCGTGGCGGCTGGCTGTGAACAGATTCGTCGAGACGTCAAAAAGGAGCATTCGACGGAGACTGGGTGTGGATTGATTGGTTATTCTATGGGGATACAATGATGGTATATGAGTATATGATGTTGTTTGTATAATATATATATATATGATACATATATATATATAATTATATATATATAATTATATATAATCGCATATGTATGTATATATATATGATATGGGTAAGCATGGTTAGATAGGGTTTATAGATGTTTATAGTGGGACCCTTAGTGGGATAAACTGAGTTATCAAATCACACATATATGTTTCAACATGGTATACATGAGGATATTTGATGGGTTATAATATATATACATATATGGTTTATAGTGGGTTTAATCATTTAACGACAAAATATATAATTAGTGAGCTTAACAATCAAATATATGAGGATAGTATGATGTAGTTGATAAATAATGATTGGATTGCAAAACATGAGTTGTTTTCCCATAAGCTCGGGATTGGTCATCTATTTATTCATTGGGATATATCCACTTGTAAGGAATCCCATTCATGATGGTGGGATGACCTTAACCCATATGCCACATAGCATGTTTTGGCCATGGCAAATATATGACCAATATCGATCAATTGAATGCCAACAGTGACAATAGCATTCAATATAAGTAATATAATCAATTGGTGAATTGATCCTTTTTTTTCTCAGTATTCGATTTATATTAATGTCCAACCAGTATGGATATAGTATCAACATTTAATATTGATATTAGAATTGATATTATATTGATTAGTTGATATTATCAAATTGGTGATATTGACAATTAACACTGATATAGCATTTCATTGATATTTAAATCAGTGAAGAATCAACCACAGCAAGGCTGCAACGCCTTACCCAGGAACATGGTGATCTATGCGTCCAGCCTAAAGGAATCCACAGCTTGGATCCTGGCGTTACAATCACTTCAACAACTGGGACAGTGGATGCCAGGACGCTTGGTTTTGTTGCCATGGAACATGGTTGAAGCCATGATGCTGGAAAAATGTTGGCTGCTGTTCGTTTCGGATCTTTTGTTGGCGTCATTCATATTGCTTAACAAACCTTTCTTCCTGTTCATCTCCGGTGTTTTTTTTACCCCACGAGATCTTGCTACAGGAACTGGGTTTTTCAACAGCCAGTTTTATGAGATCAAAGCCTTCCACCAGCATCGCTAAATCGTCAAGGAGTCGATGTTTTTTCATCCCACCAGCCGAAAAAATGAAAAACACCCCCCTAGTTCGAAACCCATGGTTTTTCATCGGGAATTTCCAGATTCCATTGGGACCATCGAAATGGGGTGTTTCATATTAGGGGGATGGGATTAGTCATTCTAATTCCATTATATCATTATAGCATATATTGTATCCCATTAGATTACCATGAAAATTCCAACATAATCTCATTAAATCACCTTGAAATCCCATTTTTTCATCGCAACTGGGCAATTTGGAAAACCACCGATGTTTCTCCGATGCTGCTGGTCCGGCTGGCCCTTCCCAACTCGCCAGATCCCCAATATACCATGCATGTTCGTCAAAAAAAAAAACAACGCATTGAACAAAACACATTCAAAAAAAAAATCGAACGCAAAAATGGAAACTAGTGAAATTCTATACCCCCATCCCCTTTTTTATTTTTTTTGTTTGCATCGTGTTTTCTTCAACCAAAAAATGAGCAGGACCTCTGACGACGGTGACGCTGACAGCGACGACCGTTACGGCCGCGCCGTGGCCACGAGCCGTTGAGCTCCTGCGCTGGGCATCAGGTGCGATGGATGTAGGATGATGTAGGATATATCAATGGCCATTTCAGGAACCTAAATTCGAGGTACCTACATGTACCTACCATATATAAGGCCTATATAAGGCCTATGTAATAGGGAATATCCCCACAAAGTATGGCCTTATATGGTACAGTACCTCCATTTTAGGATCCTGGAATTCCCATTGAATATATCGAACTACAGTAGTCAACGGAGGCACCAGTTTGCCACTGTGGGGTGGAAAGAAATATAAATTTGAGAACAATGGCTCAGAGATGTTTGGAGATTGAAGCGGCAAACATTGTGGTTGAAGTGGGAATCACTGTAAAAACAAAGAAAGGACAACAGGTCCTGGGGATGACTGACCGAGAAACAAAGGCATATATATATATATACATATTTATACATCCATATATATATATATATTATGTATATAATGAGCTATATACTGTAACGGAAACCAGTTTTGTCCCATACCCATGTCTTCTTCAACGCTGAAAGGCAGCCAGATGTAGAGATGCAACGAGCAACGAAGATATAGTATGATATAGTGACAAACAAACAAGGAACATGGCTTATTCAGAACCAAGAGGGTAACATAGATAACTGTCTCTAATGTGTGGAACCCAAAAGCTAATTTGTGTACTGTTGGTTGTCACTCCTTAAATAGACGTCATTATTATTATGTATAGCTATGGATCATCTGGTCAGAAGGTAACCATCCAATTCTTTCTCCAACACAATCTCAACATGGAACCAATTTAAAGGTGGCCGTATTGAACTCCTATTCAAGATGCACATCATTTTCCATATGTATTTTTCTGCGGTTTGTTTCTTACCCTCTGATTATTTCACATAGCTATGGCTATGGAATGCTATGGATTTATGATGATTTACCTGTTGAAAATTGTAATTTTTCTAGTTGGCCAACTGTTAAATACGCAGAGGGCACATCAATTACTAGCCCATTATCCCAGTACTATCCCATATAATCATATATCATCCCTATTAAACCATATATACAAAACATGATAAAACTAACGTCAACTACCCTTTTTTGCCAGGTAAATCATCTTTTTACCTTGGACCGTCCCGTAGTTCTCCGATCTTCGGGGCCTTCGGAGCCAGGCTCGAAGTTGGAACCAGACAAGGCTGCCTGGCATTCTGTCAGCAGCTGGCAGCAGTGTTTGCAGTTGCCACGCAAGCTCTCGCAACTTCGATTTGCATTGGTTAATCCTAATGAAAAATCCAATGTATAATGGTAATATCATGGGAATATCATGAATCTGTAACTAACCAGATTTTAATCCAATGTGTAATGGCTGGTGGGTGGTTTGGAGCATGAATTTTATGACTTTCCAGATGGGAATTATGGGAAAATCATGGGAATATCATGAATCTATAACTAACCAGATTTATTGAGTCGGTGTTTTGTGGTAATTAAATACTGATCAATAAAATTGGTGAATATAGTGGTTGTAATTGGTGAACCATGGTCAATATTGTGGAATCATATATTTAAGTGGAATTATAGATGTATAACTGGTTGGTGCTTTGGAACATGAATCTGTCATTTTCCCATATATTGTGAAGAATCATCCCAACTGACTTTCACTCCATCATTTTTCAGAGGGGTTGGTAGGTATACCACCAATCAGATAATTTTGAATTTAATAGTGGATGAATTATCCAATAATTAATAGTAGTGGATGAATTATCCAATAATTAATAAAAGTGGATAGTGGATTAATTATCCAATTATTTCCACCAATAAATCAATAATTAATAATTAATACTATACCCCCAATTAATAGTTTTGCTGAATTGGTGACCCTTTGAGTAATTTCCTATTGGTCAATCCACCAAGAAATGGTTTTTCACCACCATCCCTCTTTTAACGCAGCGACCCTTGCAGGCAAGATTCCTTGATGGTCACGGAAGAAACGTCACTTGGTAGCACTTGGTGCGCCATTGAGAGCTAAGTTGGCGATGTTTTTGTTGTCTCTGACACGTAATTTCCGTGTTAACTTTGCGGGGAGACCGGAAACTTTGGAGGTCCGTAATTCGGAAACTGTACAATGTGGTAAACACAATAATAAACACAATAAAAAAACATATAATAAATAAACCATCCTCAAATCAGCATTTTTATGGGTTCTATGAAACATCCCCCAAGTGGTAGTTGTTTATGGCAGCCAGCGTTTCCCACATACCTAACTGGCGGAGGCCCCACCAAGCATCTGCGAAGTTTTTTTGGCGAAGCTGGCTGAGCTTGCTCGAACTGAAACAAACTTGTGGATCCACACCACTACGTCGTGAAATAGTATTATATAAAAACATATATTATACAGATTCACGAAATCATAACTCATCATAAGCAAAATTCAAATCCATTTGAGATGCAGTTTTTTCAGGTACTCTCTGGCCATCAGCGCATGTGAAGACCGACATTGGAGGACTGCCCTGATCTTCTTTCGCGACGCCGTTTCAGAAAACACGGTGGATCTGGACATGACACCTGGCTCTCCAAGATCGAGGCCAAGGTGTTTTTTGTTGACTAAGGAAGCTACACATATGCTGGTTGGTGGTGACTGGAACATTTGGATTATTTTTCCATATATTGGGAATGTCATCCTCCCAACTGACGAACTCCATTATTTTCAGAGGGGTTGGTTGAAACCACCAACCAGATATGCTGGGAAAAGCTTCCAACCAACATCAATAGACTCAAGAAAAACTCGAAAATGAGGATCTATGCAGGAAGATCCAAAAAAAAATGCTTAAAACTATACCTAAAACTGAGAAATTTATTCAAGTTGGGGTTTGACCAGCAACAATGGGGTGTTAATCCGGATCAACCCTTCGTTGATCATTTGGGATCAAGTTTTAAGCCATTATCCTGTGGGAAAATAGAGTGAGCTGCTAGAAAATAGCACCTTTTTTCAGGGCAGAACAACCCCCAAATCGATAGAAAAGTTGGAAATCTGAGAATAAACATCATCTATACCATCCTGGACACACTTTATTTTTTGGGGGTTACTAAGTTCCTATATCTCAGATTAACCATGTTTTCCTGCTTCCACCCAAGAACATATCATTTTGCACCAAGCATATATGTTCATATATGTTCCTCTTGAGCTAGTATGAATAATGGGCAGAAATTAACCCTAGAAGAAAGTGTCATCGCACACCAGCTGCAGCTTGATGATAGGGCCCTAAAATTCTCCAAGTTGGTTTTTGTCAGTTTTCATAGGGAAACCAATGGTTGAGAGGCATCCCCAATTCTAAAAAGCCAGATATTCTGAAATCTACAAATCATGTCCCAGGCAAGGCGAACTGATCCGGAGACGATGGTATGTTCTGCAGCTCCAGACGTTTTCAGCCGAAGAATAGTGTAGTGAATTGGTTCAAGTGATTCTTCCAGTCCACTTTGCTGTGTCTGGGGCCGGCCAGGGAACAGAGCCACTAGGAAAATCAAGGAAAATATGGGAAAATTATGGAACATGTTCAAACCTCAGTGTTTGGGTTGGAGGGGGAAATCTGCAGCCCTCTATATTTCAACAGTTCGTGGGAATCCAGCCCTTGGCCTCTACATGTTCCGATGACATCGCCGAGGATTCTCTGGAACAGCATCATTTCTGCCTGCGCTTCAGGTCAGCGGTTTCTGAAAAAGTGTTTCAGCGCAAGGGGAGGCTTTTGGGGAGTTTCTGTGAAGGAAATGAGTTTGTTTTTTGAGGTTATATTTTTGTTGTTGATGGATGTTTGTTTTTTGGACATGGACCTGATTTGATTGTTTATTTTTTTGTTGAGGGATACGTTCCAGTAGACGAGCACAGTTAGTACTGATGATGATGATGATGATGTTGATGATGATGATGATGGTTATTATTGCTATTATCTGGTTGGTAGTTTGGAACATTTTCTATATATTGGCATAGTATTTTTCAGAGGGTAGGTCAACCACCAACCAGTTATTACTATTCTTATTATCATGAACATGATTATGAATTAGTTGCTATAAAAATAATAACAATAAAAACATAATCCCAAAATATCGTCCCGAAAGAAACACTTGTACTTAAATGTTTTGAATGTAAATGATAGTAAACTATGTAATGTGGTTAAAACAATGCCATAAACCATCCCCCAGTCATCAGCATTTTTAGGGGTGGGATTAAAACCACAACCAAATGGCTAGTTTATGACATTGTTTTAACCCCATTAGATAATTATTTGGTAGCTTCCCACTGTGGGTATTTTAACTGCGGTATTTTCTCACAGCTGCTCTGAAAAATATAAAAAAGTGCCGTATGGATTTGAAATTTTTGTGGATTGCGATGGGCTCCAGTGAACCATCATGGGAATCAGGATGAATCTACCCAGCCTGGTTATGACTAACAGTTTGACATGGTATAGATGGACCATAGAAATAGATGGTTTACCTGGGTTTACCAAACTTAAAAATGGTGGATCTTTCCACGGCAAACTGTTAAATAACCAGATGGTACCCTTTGGTATTCAAACATGGCAATGGAAACTCCCTCAGTTATCGATGATTTCCCTATTGAAGATGTCCCATTTCCATGACGGAGGGTATGTCACAGAAGTACCCGCTCTCATTCCATGGTCAGTGCTGGTGCCGTGTTTCAAGCTGTCAAGACAGGACCAAAAACACCCGTGGGTTCCTGCGGTTGAATTATCCACATTCCGCAGCTGTATTGAGATTGAGCTTGACATGGAGCAATAATCTCTGAGACAGGGAAGGGTGATATATCCGTGCTTGCAGAGTTGTCACTGAACCTAGTCATAATGGCTGCCTTAATGGCTTGAATGTAGTGGAACGTACCGAATGCAGGCCACTTCAGTCATCTCAATCTCAACATCAGTGCGTCACATGTCTGTACGTAATTGAACGACCTTGCAGTGGTACTTTCAAGCTCAACACAGTTTCCAAGCACAAGCAGCATTGCGATGGCCACTTTAGCAAGCGGGTTGTCCGAAAATTAAGCTACCCAAACTCCAGCGGTTGTTTGGAAAATCATGTATTTGAAATGTCGAATCGCCACAAATTGGGCTGCACCCCGTTGACAAACCCAAGTCAAGATTCTTGCCGGAAGATCTTTGCAGATTTTGCAGCACACGCTGAGTGCTCTGAAGCCATGGGCAAGCCGCGTTTGGGGGCCTTGATTTGCATCATTTGCATCCTGGGATGATGATAGAGGGAGCAGTTGAAACTACCAACCAGCTTGAAACTACTCTGTTTACTAGGCAGGATCTTTGTACTATCTGCAAAAACACGTGCACAAAACGTTTGCAAGGAGTAGGTCCCGACTGCAGAGCTTGTTGGTTGACAGCAACACCAAGTCCTGATGAAAGTGTATAGAAACCTTAATTGATTTGGTTGATTTTGAGGGTTATATAGGGTTATATATACTTTCATTTATAAATTATAGGAAATTCATGTGTAGTGGTATGATTGAGTTTAACACGGTTTTCAACAACAGTGGTGCAGAGGGACATGCTCATGGATTCAGATGCGGTTGACTTTCTTGCCATCCCATATTGAACTGGTCCCTGGCCGCACTGTGAGTGCCGGTGACATTTGACCTAGATGTAAGTTCGAAGGTCAGCACGCCGGTTACCCATTTGAAAACCAACATGGAAAACTCAAAACATGTCATAGTTAAGGGGCTGTTTATGGGGTCCATTTAGTGGATCTTAGGGATGTTTTCGTATGTTTTCGTGGGGTCAAGGGTAGATTTTTCTTCAACACACCATTCTTTTGGGGGATCAGCTCAGGGCTGAGTCCATCATGTATTCTGGGTGAGGTCACTCATATGATGTTTCAGGGGAAGACGACAGGTGATGTCGGGCTGATTTCTGGCTTGTGAAATCTTGTGAATTTCCACAGATGTTTGGCGATATATGTGACGTGACACGAGTTTCAAAAGGCTTTGACATTCAGAATACGTTGCGAATTATAGTGCAACAGCAAAAAATGCTAAACCCAGTTGCAATGAGTTATATATATACATATATATATATATGTGTGTGTGTGTGTTTTTCTTTGGCCCGATTCATGTGACTTTTCTTTGGCCCGATTCATGTGACTGGCTCTGCTATGCCCTCATATGGCTGTTCATAAAAATGGCGCATATTTTTTTGGGTTTTAGCCATTTAGACATGACTAGTTTAGTGGATTTGGAGGCAGACAAACCATGTTTGTTTAGCATTTGAGGCTGCCTTCCACAACTCTGTGCATTTTGAGCAACTACGACCTTGTATGTCAGGATACATGAAGAGTGTCTGAATTTGGTGTGGGGCAGTGTTCCTCGTTGATTGATACAATTTTTTGCCAGATGTTCGATTGTTTATCTGATATTCCCTCTGATATCTCATCTTGTATCCAATCTTACATTTAATTTGACATCCATCCGACATCAATTCTGACATGTTTTCTGATGTTTTGATCCAGCGAGCGCGAAATGGATAGCAGCTAGGGCCTGTTCAGGTGAGACTTCATCGAGGTTGGTTCATCCAGAGTTGGCAAGATGAGTGATAGATAGTGTATATATATAATTATATATATATATGGATTATATATATAATACATATTAGATAGTTAATTACTAATGAAATATCATGAAACCCTCTTGCAAGAGCTGGAAATGCTCAGCGTCGCATGGTTGAAGCATGTTGAAGCACATCTTTTCCGTGGCTTTGTCTGAAAATCTGGCATTTGGAAAAATGTTTTTTGCATTACCCTTGGAGATCCACACACACACACAAATACATCAGCAACGGTTTACCTGGTTTTTCAAATCAATACTTGACTAGCATGTTCCAAGGTGCTCATGAGACTCATGAGCATATCAGCCAACCGATTTTGAGAATATCCATCCGCCGGAAAAACAGAAAACAAATACAGAAGGTAAGGAATGATCGCCCAAAAACGTTCAAAATTCCAAGCTCTGAAATACTGTACCCAAAAGTCCAATTGTTTATCTTTACCTTTTCCCATGAAAGGATGCCTTAATACGCTATATATATACAGTACACAACAATTTCAGACAGACCCATACATCTTCAGCCCATTTTCAATGGTGGGCATGACAGTCCAATAGTTCCTGCCTTCTGGTTCTACTTTGTTTTGTTTACCACCTAACAGTTATAATCCTGATAAGCCCTAGTTAACGAGTTACAAAGCAATTTGGCTACAGTATCTATGGGGCTGTGCTTGTTGGTGGATGCCTTCCAGGTACAGTGGGGATACAACCGGAGATATACAACAAACTCAAACCATATTCACAAATGGCTGTGCTTGGTACTCACACAGGGCCATGTTCAGGAAGACGGCAATCGTGATCCAGTGATACATGTCACGAAAGGTAGCGTCAGCTACCTGAGTTCTCCGTGCTTCAGCACAAGCTTAGGGGGTATTGGGGGGCCAGCCCGTGGAATTCATGGAATTCTCGCCGTTATGTATTGGATATCAGTTATAAGGGGGGGGGGCCCCCCCCCGAAAATGGTTATGGGTTCAATTCCCACGGGTGACGCGATCACTGGCCCCCACATTAGAGGCACACTTTCCATGAGGGAGATGTCCCTGTAGTCCAGCATAATTGGTATGCTTCAGCCTCAATAACAGTTGCTGCAAGGGGTCTTAAAAAGGGGTTTTTAATAAACCCCTCTTCGTGCATCATTTCACGCAGCACAAGACACAGTGTCATGCAGTCATGCTCTGGATA